AACGAGGAAAATTACGCGGAAGGAGACCAGCTGACGATATCACCGTTCGCCGTCTGTGGCTGTTGCAGATTGGAGCTCAGCTGTCTTGATGACCTTGTTCCCTGCGTAGAGATAGCACATCCACGAAAGGAGCCACAAAGAGAGCCACGATGGATAAGGCTTAATTGATTGTTTTTGACCATTGCTAGGTTTGCTCGATGCTTGTGACTGGCGATGCCATCTGAGTTCAAATTTGTGCTCATTGCGTTTCGGACGGACAAGCGTGTTCTGACGTCCGAACATGGTAGATTTGTCTTTGGACCACAGAGCCCCCCATGTTTGTGGCATGCTTGTGGGGGTCAACTACTAACACTCGGCACTGAGGCTCAAGTGGACATGCAATGGTAAATGACCGCGACAATACTCAATTACGAGTAAACTACTAACTACAGCAGTTGTCAGACTCGTCGACCCAACTGCCGCTGCGACATACGTCGGGACCGACAGCATACCGACTCTAATATCACCTGTAGTAAATATGCCGCACGACCAGAAACCAGGCTTTTGGGTGACGTTGCACATGGGTCTTAACAGCCATGGATATCACAACAAAGCTCGATGACAAGGATATTCCAGGGTGGACCGGACGGTGTTGGCGATGGCCAGCTCAGCATTAGGTTGCCAAGGCCGGCACCTTCGCCTACTCAAGCAAGGCACAAGCATGGCACCCAGATGGCACCCAAAACAGGTGAGAGGAGGTTCTATGTACAGTACGAGGGACGCAGACAGAATCCCTCCTCCTCCTCCTTCTGATGAACCATGAGACAGGAGGTGAAGGAGACACGGCATCGATTGATCCTTGAGGATTTCTCCGGCCCTCTCGGTTGGTCCTGCCAGAGCGCGGAACAAAAAACAGCAGCAGCCAGCCGCAATTACGAGAGCTCCAAAGGTTGTCTCTGCAGCTGCAGGGATGGCCTCTCTTCTCGCTGATGGAGAGACACGGCCCAGATGGCGAAGGCGCACCGCTGATTTGCCAGGAAAGCCCCGGATGGTGGCCTCTGGTCGTCGCCGGGCGCATCATCTGCAGCTCTAAATCGAGGTTAACGATCACAAGCGCACCCAGGGCCAAGAGGGCGGGCCAGGGGGGGTGTCCCGGGGGGGTCTGGTCTAGTCCCACGCAGCCCACTTCCCACCACCGAGTCCCGTTTGTTTACAGACGAAGCTCACCAGCGCCCGCCATTGGCCGCTGCCGCCGGGACTGCAGGAAAGCTGCTGCCCAGTTGCATGCAAGTCTCAATGCACTTCCGGATCGACGTAGGCAGAGTCGGACGTAGATGCATGCACACACTCTCTTTTGCTCTCACACACACACCATCTGTCTTCTTCTCCCGCCGCTGCTCACACCTCTGCATCGCGACCGATATAGCCAAGTGCCGCCTGTCCCAGCAGCAGCAGCAGCCGGACAACAGACACACCTCGGATCCTCCAGCTGACCACTCGGATGCTGACCATCTCACCTCGTCTGAGCCACGACTTCTGTCTTGCAGCAGCTCCGCAACGGCCGTGAATACCGACAGCATGCCGTACAGGTAGACATGTAAGTAGATGAAACAACACATTCGCCGGACAACATATCTCTGCCTCTGCCTCTGCTCTGTTCGAGTCGCGGCATGCGCCAGCCTTACAATACATGGGTGAGCGGCCAACTGTGACGGCCGCAGCCTTCTCTCTACGTCGGAGCCTCGCAGATCTGCGTGCCTATCCGGGACCTCTCCGGATCCCGACTGCTCCGTTCTGGGCCTTAGGAATGTGACTGAAGCTTACTCCCTTGCCGACAGACCATGACCGCCGAAGAAGACACCTCGCCGGGCCCGGAAACTCCCCGTCGCGCCTCTGTTGCCGCCAACCCAAAGACTCCCAATGCCACACATGCGCGAAAGCTCTCCGCCCCTGGCGGTGGTGCTACTCCCAAGAGTGCCCCCGCCGCCGGGGCTGGACGTCAGCGGTCCGCCACCATGAAGCAGCAGCCTACATTACTAGGGGACTTCCTCCTGGGCCGCCCTTCACCGGCGCGGGTTGCCGCCGAGAGAGAGAAGTGGAAACAGAAGCAGAAGGAAATGACCGTGGAGCAGGTAAAGCAGGAGATGCGCGAGGCCGCTGTGCGCCGAGTGCAAGCGCCCGGTGGTGTGCACGACCGGGTGAAGCAGTGGCAGAAGAAGAACGCAACCTCCATGGCCGACGCCGACCCCTTCGCAACACCGAGCGAGCCCAGCGAAGTGAACATACAAGTCGACGAGGCCAGTGTTACAGAGGAGGACCGCGTCAGAATCAAGAAAGGGATCAAGGCGAAACCACCCCCACGGGTCATAGTAGTGGAGCGGACCAAAGGCAAGGATGACGATTATGAGACTGAGAAAGAGAACCAGGGGGAGTCGCCGTCCGCCAGCCCGCCTAAGAAGCGGGTTGTCAGCGATACGAACTGGATGAAGAACAAGAGGAGGAGCCCCCCGAGGACGCGATCGCCAAAGACGCCCGGAGAAGCAGGCGCTGGATCACCGCTGCCAAAGACTTTCTCACCGCGTACCGCACCTAACCCCACCGTCAAGAGCAAGATCAGAGACTGGGCCGACAAAGTCGAAATCCCCGACGAGCCTCGTGTCAAGCGCTATAATGTCTCAGGCTCGGTTGGTAGCGCGGATGGAATTCGGGTCAGGCCCATGCGCAGTGGAGGGGTTGATTCCAGTGTCTCTTCGGGTCCGGTATCGAGCGCAAAATCCGAGGACTCTGAGATCGTGGTTGAATCGAGCAAACGTCGCAGGTCCAAACCAGCCCAGGACGATGGTATCCGGGTGACGCCGGCAAAAACAAGGACGGGCGACGGCGATGGTATTCGAGTCCAGGCGCAGAAATCATCGTTACCAGACGATGGGATCAGGGTATACTCGGGTGACCGCCGAGCCTCGGAAAGTGCCAGCACGGTCCGGGCTTCCTCACGCCGTGGATCAGCGCGTGCAAAGAGTGCTCAACGAGAACCATCGCCGTCGGATAGAATTGAGGTTTTTGAGGAGTCCGGATCCGACGAGCCTAATACGCCTACGAGGCGCAGCCGTGGGAAGAAATCCTCGAAGCTTTCTTCGCAGTTCACCCAGACAACCGCAGATACAGGAACTACCATGACTGAGGACGTGTCCGACAGCGAGTCGTGGACAAGCGGGTCAGAAGGTGCTGATGACGATTCGGATATACCGTCGAGTCTCCCATCGAAGCTAGCGGATATCCCGGTGGGATATTCGGCTTTCAGCGAACTAGATCTGCCAACGAAGGGAGGGTCGAGACGACCGAAAGCGAAGAGGAATACTAGCTTCAAGGGCGCTACTAACGTCCTGAAGAAGGCCTTCGTTGAGAGCAAGAAGATATTGTCAGAGAGGGCTGAACCACCTCCCAAACCGGTCGCAAACCAGCCAAGAAGCATCGAGTCTTGGCTCAACAAGACGGTTGATCCCTTTGTCGAAAACTCTACTACCGACGCACCGGAGCCCAAGGAGCAGTCCATCGAGGATGATCGGGCTGATGAGAGCAATATACGTGGATCATCATCTGCGTCCAAGCGAAAATCCACAGATGAGCCACAGTCGGAGTCGACTTCCACCTCAAGAGATGAGGACAGCACCATTACCAAAGATGACGAAACCGAGATCTCTGACAAACACGAAGAACCTGAGAAACTCAAGGAAAGTGAGCCTTCAACACCGACCTCAGCTGGTCTGAAAAGGAGTCGTGCTGTTAGGACCACATCGTCTCCTGTAAAGCCAACCACGAAGAAGGGGTTCAAAGAAAGGCTTAAAGATGCTTTCCGGGGAGAATCGAGCATGACTTACTCTGGCGGTTTGGATGATATCAGACACAACGATGAATACGAAGACGAGCGCCGTGAGCGGCGGCGCTCATCGGGTTCGCCGCCAAACCCGCCAGCCCAAGATGATGAGTCGATAACCTCGTCTGAACAATCGAGGTCAATGCCTGCAGCGACATACCCTCGGCGGCGGCCGCCCCCTACGAAAGGTGTTCATGAGTTATCAACGATCATGTCTTTGGAGTCTTTCAGTGCAACAGAATCGGATCTCTCCTCAGTCCTTTCTGATACTACGATAACCCAAACGACTGCCCTTACGGGGAGCACTGGCTCGGGATTGTCGCGTCATAGGAGCAATAAACCAGGCCTCAAACGACGATTGACGAAGCATTCCGATTTGGTCTCTGTTCTATCACTCCCAGACGAAAAGGCAAAGGTTGGCAGAAGCAGCAGTCTCAAATCAGCCCGCAGCGTTCGCAGGACGTCAAATCATCTAGACACCGCAACGGTCGACGGCCTGCTGAAGGAGTTTGCTCAAGATGAGGATCTCTACCAGAGAGAACTGAAAACACTGGTTGATGGAGTTATCCCCGTGCTTCTCAACCAATTCGTACACGGCAACGGGTCTGTTGTATCCGAGGATCTGTTCTCCTCCCCTTCGGCCAAGGGGAAAGAGGACAGCATCGCCAAAGCTGTGGTTCAAATGGGTATTGCATTGGAAAAGCTTCGGAATGCCCACAAGCGCTGTCCCTTGAGGGATGCACATAGGTTGCCGCAATGGCTCGAATCTACGCACTCGATCTACAACAACTACTTGGACGTGTGGCGACTTGGTTTCAACGACTTAATTGTCAACCTCGCCCCGCTCAATCTGGACGAGAATGATTCCCTCGTCAATGCTTTGCCTCGGAACGAGGACGGCGACATTGTCAATGAGGATGGAGAGCGTGTCGATGTTGCCCATCTGCTGAAACGGCCCCTTGTCCGAGTCAAATGGATCACCAGATTTATAAGGGTAATTTTGTATGGCGTTGATCCATGAAAACATAGGCTAACTTCTACTCAGGGCTACCGCACAGTCTCCAGCACCGACCAATACAGAGATCTGGCAGCTAATTGGGAGAAGCTTCAAGAGAAGGCGCGCCGAAGGCACAAAGAAGAGAGCGCGAGGGTTGTCGACGAGGATGCCATTAACACAGATACTACTCGGGTCCGAGACTTGAAGACCCTGGAGCCACTCGACAATGTCAGGATAGACCGCTTCCGACAAGTATATGCGAAGGACCCGTTCTCCTTAGATCTAAGACACAGCAATGGCCAGCGCCTAGACTGCCAGGTCGAACTTGTTTCTCGAGACAACCAACTATTCAAGTCAGACCCTGGCGACCTGCTGATCCGCGAGACGGGTAGCAGTGGCCGCTCATGGCTTCTGTTCCCACCTATTTTAGGTGGCCAATACTCGGCAAGAAAAGGCGATGAAGATGGACAACTCATCGTCATGATTAGAGGCAAGCATGATGAGTGGTACCAGCTCCTGACACTGACTACCGACAACGACGAACAAGTGCAAGATTGGATAGAAATTCTTGGCACGAGCCCAGAACCGCCCACTCTCTCCAAGCCAGACCCAACTGAACTCCAATCGCTGGCCATACAACCCAGACTAAACCGGGAGGAAGCGCCGCTCGGTGAGAGAAAACGAAGATCTCCTTCATCGGCCGTTCAATCACCGATTCGGGCAGACTCGAGTCCGGAGGTTCACACGAGGACCCCGAGTCGACACCACCACCAGCGGACAACCAGCGGGCCAGCAACGCCTACATCGACTTCAGCCATTGTATCTCCAGAACGGACGCCTACTCAAGATTCTTACGCGAGGCCCAAGTCAAGATCGGGCTCGGAGACGTTGTCGCCTGCCAGAGACGAAGGCCGATCGCGTCCTCTGCGGGAGCATATGCGACCTGATCCACTCAGCTTCCAAGACTCGACCCAGGAAACTCAAGCTGAGGAAGACAACGGGCCACCTCCACCACCTGCCCACCGCACATTGCCGTCTAAGAACTCCCCGAGTTTGTCGCCTCCTGCTGACCTAAGAGTCAAGCGACGCACATCATCTCCGCTAAAACATGAATACCGTCCTTCTGATATCTCCTCCGCAGATTCTACCTCAAGCTCAGGTTCTGATGAAGACGATGACTCGGCATCAGATTCGTCTGATGACGAATTAGAGGCGGCTGATATCCCCGATACCATGCCAGCCATTAGCATCAAAAAGTCGGATGAACAGGAGACCCCAACAGACTCTGTTATCTCGGATAGCACGGTCAGCCTCACCCCCTCTGCATCGGCTTCTCAGGCAGGGGTGCCCAAAGTAAGGGGCCAGCAACCAGCCTACGCTTTCAAGTCGATAGCTGCCATCTCATACTGGGACAACAAGCGAGGTTGCTGGAAAGACCTGTGGCCCGATACGTGCTCTATCGTCACTACACCCGGCTTGATTGAGGCATACCCAATGCGTGGTGCGCATGGATCGCATGGAGTATCTCACGACGAAGACCGCCCTCTGATCGCGCTTGATCTGACACCATTGGTAATGCTCCGAAACAGCACCGTGCTGGATCTTGAAATAAGGTCTCCAGTCCTCAGCTACGCGCGGCTGTACTCTAAAGTGACAAAGATCGAGACCTGCTTTTTCCGATTCAGGGCACCGTCCTTCCTGGAATGCGAGCAGCTTTATATGGCCGTACACCGAGCTCGCATGGACAATGCTAAGTTCAAGGCCCTCGAAGAAGAAGCACGGATCCGCAACTTTGGCCAACACCAAGCCCCTGAACAAGATGGTGACGCATCCTCTCGTCGCCGTAGTTGGTTCGGCCGGAAGAACAGCTACCGTGCTTCTACCCGCGCGCCTTCACAATCAGCTGGAAGCACGTCTCACGCCTCCAGTGTTTCTGCGTCGTCCTTCCTCAAGAAACTCATGGGCGGTGGCAATCAAACTTTCGATATCGCAATGTCTTCAGTAGACAGGCAATACCGCGGAGGCTCAGCCGAGGCCTCCCTATATACGAGCTCTTCTTCCTCTGGCACACCACCGCGTTCCCCGTCGGTCAGTGCGGCAAACAGTGGTAACACAGCCAAGATGAGCTTGACGACGAACAATCTGAAGATTCGTCTACACTTAATGGTGTCAGCAAGCAAGTGGGAGGATCACGGTAACTGCTTGCTCGAAATTACACGACCGCCCTCTGGTACCCGTCAGAATTTACGCAAATATCAAGGCATGGAAAAACGCGTTGTCGTGGCTCAAAAGCCGAAGAAGTCTGCCGATGGAGACAAGATGACCATCAAACTAGACGTCGTGTTGGGGTCGCGGTGCTTCTCGAGGCTGGGAAGCAGGGGCATTCTATTGAACGTTTGGGAGGAAGTTCGCGACGAGAATGGCGAGATGGGTGTTGCTCCTCAAGGAGGTGCCAGTTCTGGAAACGTGAGCAAGTGGTGTTTCCAGTGTGCAAGTGTGAGCGAGGCAAGCTGGATCTTCGGCCTGGTGACGCAAGAGGTGGTCATCGGCTGATTTCGTCGCGAAAAGGCGACCAGGGTCCCTTCGGGCTCTGAAGAAGATGAGAGAAGACGAGGCGGTGTCAGGATGTTTAAGGTGTAATATGGGGCGTGAGCTGGATGCTCGGTTATCGTTGACTTGAGATACCCTGTTGCGGAGCGAGCGAGGTGTGGATATTTGCTCCTTGTTTGCTTCTTTCAAACGTACACTTTTTTTTTCTCCTTGTGTGTCAATAATGAGCCATGATTCCAAGAGACACAATGGCTGTCAGGATGGTGTACAATGCATTAGAGGACCCGGCGTAGGGAAGGGTCTTGTTCTTTGTCTGGCGAGATACAACTCAGGACACTATGGTACATAGAAGGGAGAAGGGGAATAGCAGTGAATACATACATTCATCCGTTCACATCTGCGCGTTTACTCACTCCCTTCTGCTGGAAAGTATAAAACACACCAATGCTCATCCAGAAGTATGCTGGGGCCTCAGGCAGACCCAATGAGACACGACAAAAGGGACAAAGACTGTATCAAATAGTCAGGGGTATGTATAGTTGAGTATGTAGATGTCATACTGAGCAAAGCGTTAGTTCCATCTCAGACTCTCGCCATGTCGTGCACACCCATCATCCAGACGTGTATTTAGCTCGCCGCGCACCTTCCAGATGGGGTCGGGAAGCAACCCGCAACCCGTAGGGACATCCATCGAAGATCCTAAGTCAAAGGAGTCAACACCTACGCATCAAGGACCGAAACTACAGCAATGCCCGTCGTCAGCAGACAAGCCCAAACCCAAGCCCCCGCCGCCGTGATCGGCCTGAGCGTGGGCATCGGCGTTGGCGTGGTCCTGCTTGCCATCATCTATATCGTGGTGCTTCGCGTGCCCCGGAGCGGCACCAGACCGTCGGATTCGGCGCGCCGGTGGCCCGGTCACGGTTTCATCCGCAGTCCCGTGTATGGCCGCGCTCCCTGGAGCTGAGCCGGGCTGTTCGCGGGCCGTTATGGCTTAGGAAAAGTTAGAGAGAACGAGGGCTGGAGCAGAGGTAGAGCGCAATGTCATGATGCTAATTGAGTATCCCTACAAAGATTGACTGTCCATGTTACCATTATGCCGTGCCCCATTTTCTGTTTTTGTCTTTTCCATGCTCTGTTAGTAGCCTGAAATAGAAAAATTGGCATCATGACACGTCTGATTTGTATGATGGTCCGTTTGTGCGTCAGGTCATGACTATCTAGCTACTCTTTCATGGTGTTTCAAATGTCTACGAACAGATGTTCATGGCATCTGCGCTGTGTCTTGGCTTTTTTGTCTTCTCTCTGAGCCTGGTGATGAAGATGCCTCACATGCCCAGAACGCTCTGTATACAAATAGCACGCCGGATCTATGTGGCTGTAGAGCAACCCCAGATCGCAAGTTCTTCACATTTCGGTCTTTAGAGCCTGTGGCTAAGACTCTCTCCTTCTGGGACGCACTGCAAGTAGCGATTTTTGAATTCGCCTCTACACCATTGTCTCGTACCCTGAGGCCATAGAAACTCCAAAGGCCACGATTGCATTAGTATAACTCGATACTACTTTTCCCAGGGTGTCTTCTCAAAGGGGAAGAAACGTTCGCTTGGACCGAGGCCGGTGGAGATGATTTGGATTATCCGAAGAAGAGTACCTGCGATGCGCCGTACACGACGAAAATCCCTGATTCCCTAAGCCCAAGAGACTTGGCTATTTTGTACGTCAGCCCACCCTTTTCCCGACCCTCACCTACTGATAGTCATCTGACTAGGGAGCTTCCTCCATATTTCTTCTTTATAGGCGTCACCTTCCTGCTCTACACGGCGGTGTATGTGGCTGACCTTATCACGATGTACCGGATCTTCTTGCCATATCAGTGGCTCGGCCCGGTACTGTCCCTCATCAAGGCGGTCGATGAAAAACTAGTGGCACCCATCTTCGGATCGGCATTCCGCAGCCTGCTCGGCTGGACGCTCAAGGCGTTCGGCATTAATCAGCTTCTGCCCAACGTCCCCGCGACCTCGATGATTTCCCTTTACCTATAAGTTCCGGATTCCCGTAACCTAGTCTGTGGATCAGTGTTGAACCAGTTCGCAGAACATGGTGGTTCAGCCTTCTTCCGGCGATCCAGGCGCTCAAAGCAGCCTTACGCGCCCCCCCCGCCCCCGATTGGAGCCGAAGTCTTCCGAGGACCTTTGCGCTGCAGTTTATGCTGTCTGTTTACATGTTACAGAACCTAGACCCGTATTCGTGCCAGATCCAGATTTGTAGTGGAATAGCTGAGATCGTCTTCGGTATGCTACGGGTCATCATGCATACGACCGAGTACTGGCATCGGTGCAATGCACAATATGTTGACAGGATCCTCAGAAAAAGATACCCGAATGTTTAATACATGACCAAACCTGTGTTCATGCCGGTGCCTAAATGAGGTCTTTGTCTGAATGTCGACTCGCCCTTTTCGGTTCAACTTCGTTTCCAAACAAACTTGTATCCAGCATGAAATCAGATTGAATCACCGAGATAAATTCGTTTCCAAGTTTTAGATACCCTTGATATCAAACAATTCTCACTCGTTCTTAAACTAGTACTATCCACTCACAATTCATGATCGACAGGCACGCGACGGCTATACGTGATTGAGTGGTAGCAAAGCGTGAGCCGCGTGACTATCGAAGGTCTTGTAATAGCAGTAACATTCTCCCAGCGCACCATGCGGCTCTAGAAGCCCCACTACAAAGGCATCCTGCCAACAGAACAAAGTCTCCAGACAAGTGAAGGCTGTCCGCATTGTTATCCAACAACAAGCCCCATTCATGAACTGTCCCTATAAGTACTTATCACTAACAATACCTCTGTCTCCGTGATACGCATAAAATTATATTTAAGGACACAGCATCAGTTGCCTTTGAGGATCTTTCGAAGACGCAACCACTTCCCAAACATACAATTGTCTAACTAGGGTTTCCTCAACATGGGCGGCGATGCAATGGACACTGCGACCGTAGTCGCCATCACACTTGTTGTGTTCATGGTCGTCGCGTTGATTGCGGCGTTGATCGTACACTGTATATTGACAACATTAAAGACCAGGAAGGTCCAGGCAGCCAATGGGATCAAACCGTGGGTGCCGGGGACGAACGGGGGAGGTTTACCCCCGGTATGAGGGCTCTTCTGCGGGCCAGAAAGGAGTTTCGATGTTTTGATTTTAAGAAGGGGGACCATGGGGCAAGTAATTCACAGTAATTTCATTCATCGAAGATAATAATAAGATGTACAGTTTTTTGTTTAGCAAGTTGCGTCATGCTTTGTATATCACAATACTATAATCCACTAGCGTACACGGCTAGCTCTGGCCGCCAGCAACCAGTAGTGCTCATATGAAATGGCCCGGGAATGGGAGGGAGCATCATGGTGGCTCAGCAGAAGATTGGGTCCAAAATATGGACCGCCAGACCGCACGAGCAGCTACAGCGCTTCTTTATACGGGACTGAGACTCCAGAGGGTTATGCACGCTGTGGTTGGATGATATGCAGCCGCCGGCGGCACGTGTGATCGAGTCAACGCACGTCACTATACTCCACATGGCGCCAAACGTGCGACGCCCCTGACTCAGATCCGAGGAAACATGCACGGCTCGACCAACAATCAATCTGCGTTTGTGAATCGCTCCCGACTCTGAAACTTATAGCTACCACTTTTTGCCAAGCCCTTGGGACAGCCACGCCCCATACTCACGAGTTTTCCATTGTAAGCAAACCGCGGGCCGCCCTAGCGATTCAAGATTCCCGGCATGGAGCACCCCACCTGCAGGATCCCCATAGACAAAGAAGACGTCTAGAGTACTCGGACAACGCAACGTGACAATCCCTTTCAAGGTCCTTTTAGCAGGTTCCAGACCAATCTCTTTATTCTGCTCGCGCCGTACAAATACCGGGGGGTAGCCCCTCCCCTGCCGCCGATCAAAAAGTTTTGAGGCATACATTCACTCTGTACATTACCACCTTCTTTTCTTTCCCCTGCACAGGCGTCTTCGGATGCCTTTCTTTCATTAACAACCCCTAGGGCGAGTTGATCTTGCCGCGGGCATATACTAAGAAGACGGTTCCTCGTCACACACCTTCACTTGACCCTGCTTGACCTGACCGGCCATTGCATTGCCTACGAGCACACACCTATCATTTCATCAACGACATACTTTCGCTACTACATACTACACATCAACGTGGTTTTCCTCCAAAGGGATAGGAAAAGGGGAAAAAGGAAAACAGGGAGGAAAGAACAAGAAGCAGAAAATGGCAGAGCACTCGACATCAACACGCATGGCGAAGCCAGCCAACCCTCTAGACTCCGACTGGACGGCCATGTACGTGGTGTTGCTGCTGATACCGATCGTCTTCGTCGCCGTCGCATGCTTTGCCAACTGGCAGGACCGGAAGGTCAAGGCAGCGACCGACATCGAGGCCGTCAACGCGACGTACGAGCAGTATTGGTTCAGCTGGCGCAAGACGGTGGCCGACGGCGAGAGAGGGCACCTACCCGAACGGCCGCCGGTGCTGCCGCCGGTACCACCGATGGCCCTCGCGACGATGGAGGAGGCGCAGAAGCTTGGCCGGCCATCATTCTCAGCGTACGCTCGGCCACAGATGAGCCCTCGTGCGCCGGCCATCACCGTGACGCCCACGGCTGCGACGCCAGCTTGGGGGAAGCACACACGCTCGAACGACTCTCGGGACATGCACGAGACTGTTTATCCTCAGCAGGCCCGAGGACACAGCCCGTGGTCAAAAGACGACGGCAAGGTTCCATTTGACGATGTTGCTTGGAGCTAGATTCATGGTCCCGTCAACATCGATATCCTAGAGATTTAATTCAATGTACAAATTCCTGTGTACACTATGAACCGCACTTACTACCGCCTACGGCCTACCTAGGTACATCTGATTGACAGGCTCTGTCAATCATAAGAAAGTGTTGTAAGCCGACGTGGGGTTCTGATCTCATGTTTCATGTTTGAAGTCCCATGTGCCATCTCATATAGACGCCGAAACAGGCGTTGGCTGCCCGGCAATGCATCTGGTTTATGCAGGCGGCGATCGCTGCTGACAAGGTCATGCATTAGCTGGGTGTCGTCTCACACTAAGCTCGTTCTAGAGCCAGGATTGGCTATCGGCACATGTTTCCCAGTTTCGATTGTCCTATCAAAATCGGCATAGCCATTGATGGGCAGACAAATACGGTAGTTTGCGAAGCCGTCGCATGTGATGGACGGCTATCAAGTTGACTTGATTCTTGTGCTCTAGTGTGGTGTCGCCTCTTTTGTTGAGACGCTGCCGAAGACATTCAGCACTACCAAACATTATGCTTCATATTCCTTTTGTGTTGGCCTTAAAACCGGCAGATGCAACACCAGTAACGTGCGCGAAAATCGACGCTCCCCCATAAACCTAACGAGAACACCAAACGCCAGCCCAATTCCAGATGCCTCATCTAGTGACGAGTTCCGTTTCGCCTCTTTGTGGTTTTATGTCGTGGTGACAAGTATATACAGTGAATCGAGTCGAACGCCGGGTGGGTATCGATGCGTAGCTTTAGAAAGCCAATCGAAATCAAAGCATATTCAGAATCGCAAGTCGTGCTGCTCATCGTCGACTTGTACAGTGAAAAAGTAATGTTGGGTGACAGGAGTTCGTCGCGAGACATCACTGCCCTTGCGGTTTCCAGATACCAGCGCCGAGTGATTTGCTGACACCGAGGCCGACGGCCACAGCGATGCCGATGATCAATGCCGCCATGAGAATCTTGACAACCAGTCTGGTCCGCTTGCTAAGATGGGCCATGCATTTGCAAGATCGGTTCTTCAGCTTGGCGGCGCGGGCCTTCTGCTTCCAGTGGTCCTGACCTGGCCAGACAGAACAGTTGGGGTTGTTCAGGGTCCGGCCCGTGAACTGGGTTGACTTGCGGTTCAGGTTCTCCGAGGATTGACCTGCCTCGACATCGGTATCGAAGGGGCTCAGTCGACGAGCCGAACTAGGCGACGAGTTGGCCGAGTTTCGCGGCATGTCAATGCTGGTCTCCTTGGGCCCCTTCTCGAGGCTGTTGCTGGTTGAGACGGGAGACAGAGCAGCACCATTCTGAGTCTGGAGCTCCGTGGTGTGCACAGCCAGGTGGCCGGGCTGGGACGCCTTTTCTTCCGTTTGTTTCGATGCCATGGCGACGAGGGTGGGCAGTCAAACCGTGTTGGCTGTCAGAGTAGAGTATGTGATGCGTCGAAGACCTCCTCGCACCAGCTTCGGACCGGGGCAGAGATGGTGCTGGGTCGAATATTGGTTGGCAACACGGTGACCCAAGAAGTCTGATTATCGCAGCAGAATCTGTGAGGGGAGGGATTAGTATGTACTTATTAAGCAAGCTCTGAGCGTATTGAAACACGGCCTTGCAGGTGTGGAGGCAGGTATCATGGTTGTCAGTGGCATGAAAAGAGAACGTACCACGCGACAATCGACGAGTGGGAAGGTCAGGAGGTCGACTCCCAACAGAATGGCTCAATGAACCCCGTGATGCTACTGCCGACGCGAAAAGCGACAATGGCAAGCTCCTTCTTGGCTTGTTTTCCCCGTCTTGGTCGTCACGAGGAACGTAGCGGCCAGTGGAAACCGACAGCAACTGAACTCAGGCTTGCTCAGGTCAGAGCATCTGGTGACGAGGGCCAATGAGGGTTGCCGGGGCACAAGACGTGACTCGTGATAGCTCGAAGGTCAAGCTCTGGAGCTGCTGAACAACAAACGAACGAACGAACAAACGATCAATCGGAGAGGGGACGGGACGGGAAGGCGAAGAGAGGGCTTAAGAGGAATACAGAAGAGTGAAGGAGCAAGCTAGAGGGAATACTATGGTACCCTAGTGAATGAAACAAGGTCGGCTCAAGGTCATAGATAGATTGGGTGGACGATGGCAAGAGCGAGCGATGGATGGGCGTCCAAATGAGAGTGAGCGGCCGAATGTGACGGGACAGGGGACTGAGTTAATGCAAGGCACTGGAAACGGCCTGGCGCCTGGCGGGCGACAAACCCACGCACCCGCCCACCACGCACCACGCAACACGCGCACCCTCTCTCCTCTCTCTCTCGCTCTCTTTCAACGAGAGAGAGAGAGAGACAGAGAAGGCCCAGCCCAGACCCAGACCTGGACAGCCAGACCAGCACACCAGCACCAGGGGACCAGCTACGAATGGACGGATGGCTCGATGTTGTGCCCCGTCCCTGCGCGTCCCTGTCCATCCCAAGTCTTGGGGCCACAGCCGCTGCGAATCAGACGGCGGCGGTGGGCGGCTGGGCAGCCGAGATAGGCAATGCCCACTGCAGAGAGCACGCTAGACAGTGGAGCGGGCACGTTGAGTCGGGACCGCCCTTGTAATAGAGGGGAGCCGGTGCGCAAGCCTGGCAGGGGCAAGATTGAACTGACATGGTTCCCTCTCTAGCAGAGTTACACGGATAGGGGGATCTGCTCTCGTTTTTTTCGGGCGCATGTCGTATTCATCAACCGTGCTATGGTACTTGCAGCGGTGCGCACTCGTAGCTACGTAACCGTACGGGTTACGGACCACAGCAATTTGGCCTCTGGTGGCTTTGGTCCTCTTCGTGATGCCATGGGAAAAGGCCCTTTTTCTTCGGCGCCGGCAGATTGAGACCAGCAGAACGATGGGCACCGGCTGCGCCGTACAGCTAGAGGTTGCAGAATCCAGATGCTAGCGTACTGTAGGTTGTCGTTGACGAGCGATCACGTCGCACGTCGTTCATGTCACTTTGCTTCTGATAGCGCCACCGCAACGTCTGCGCCGCCGACCCATGTCTCCCACTTTTTGCCGACTTCTGCTCCCCTGGGACGAGACTGAAAAAGGCCTCCAGTTCCAAGCCATGAGAAACATGGGGGGAAGGAAGGATATCCGCCAGGCGGCAGCATATCTTATCTCGATGGGGGTCTCGAACCGTGCTGTTGCTTGCAAGGCCTAGACGGAAACGTCCAATTGTCGGTTCCCCTCCTTGACATCGTTTAGGGATCCCCAGGACAGCCAGGGCGGTTCATGCACAGCCTGACTCGCCACTACTGCTTGTCGATGGAGCATCGACTCTAGTCGCCGCTGTGATTTTCAGCTACCTGAACATGGGCAAATCTCGCTGTTAACTACATAGATAGTGCGGGTTACATAAGTCGCAAATAACCTGCTGCGTCGTTCCAAGACCATGTATGCATTGCGCATTTACCAGCCAGCGCCTGTTCTCATGCAATCCTTCCAGCCCGCATGGGGACTTTTGGTGAAGATCTCTGGCCGTTGGGCCATCGTCATGGTTCATGAGGCACAGCGAATGCGTCAATTGTTCTGCATGGCTGGTGGTGGTCCAGCTGAGGCTAGGCCTTGCCTCGCCGTCCACACTGCAACCACTACCCGACGCCTACTACTACATTTATATACTATGTATGTGTGTGTACGGATTAGTGTCACGCCTCCGCAAGTATTGAGTCTAGCATTGGCGGCACCATCCTCGATCCCAGGGCTAGCGATGCAGGCTGTCGCGTGGGAGCAGGTTCTACTGAATAGAGCCAGCCAGAGGCAAACAGGCACAGGCGTTCTGCTGGCCTTGGTAGTTTGGATGCGGAGCTGCCGCCGCTCGGCGTCGTTTGACAATTGTACCATCTTCCATGGTCTAAACGCTCTGTCGATGATTGTCTCGGTTGTTCCACACAGGAATCCTATGAATCAGTCACTTGCCTTGTCCAAGAAACGCCAGCTTCTAGAATGATGTCTGACGGCATGGCGCGAGCATCTGCAGACGAGATGAGTCTGCGCGCACGGGGCACGAGAGCGAATGGAGATGAGCAGAGCCCACAGAGCTCACCAAATGCCCATCCCCACTGATCCCCAACGATCTCTCGCTAACCCCCTGTCAATCGACTAGCACCCATGCTTCACGCCAATGATCTTGATCTCGTGTCTAACCAGGAAAGGGGGCAAACTCCGCGGGCTAAGGATAACTTGGGGCGTGGCCTGTGAAGCTTAATCCACGAGCCGACTTGACACCAAGTTGTTCAATGTTGTAAGTCATCGGCAATCGTCAAGTGTTGCTCACATGCACAAGCTTTGCCAAGTTGTCCTCCGCAGCACCACAATCAGACCATGCACTTTTCACGGTGGTAGAGCCGCCTCCGTAGGTCTAGACACGCTCACTTCGCTTATAGGTTAATGTACCACCCTCCGAGTTCCATGGGGGGGAGCGATCCACCCTTGGCGAGAACCGACGGAGCTGCAGTATACATAGTAATACCATCCACTAAGCGAGCCGGAACTGACCCAAAAGACGAGCACGTTACATAACTCACGCAGTATCCGCACCTCCATCAGTGATACCGCTTATAGCCTATCGTAGTCACGTGTCTCCGCGCACACTGCTCTTCTGGAGTATGAAGTCGTGTCCAGCTGGATCCGCCGAAGACACTGCCGCAAATGTGTGACCGACACAATCATCGAGGTTCCACATCAACACCATAATACATCCGATCACGCTGCACGAGCTGCAAAAGCCCGAATAAGCGAGTTTGTGTGATGGCCAAGCTGCAAATATCTACTTAAATTGACAGTTTGCCCGCGTGATCTCGTTAGTTGAAGCCTTCGACAGGTGGTTCCGAGAGATAAGGATGCTTGCTGCACTCACTCTGAACCATGGCGATATGTATGTAGTGACAGCCCTTGTTGAAGTGCGTGGAAAGAGCTGGGGAAACAATTATGGAACGCAAATCAGCGAAATTGTTGAGCACAGTGATTACATGGTCGCCAGCGACAAAATCTGGGAGTAAAGAATTCATCTGTGTTATCGCGTGTAAGCAAACATGCGGGTCATCTTTGCTGCAATAAGGCGACGCAGGCGAGCCCATTTGCCCCCGGAGCCATCTAGGAAACGGTGGTTTCGTCGTTTGTTCAACCAAGGAGGTGATTCTTGCCAGGTTACTTGGCCGTACAAACTTGCGATCATATGTGCTACTATCTCGATCCAATGATATTGCTAATAATTTTCGGGTGAGAAAAAGTGTTCGAAAGTGTGTACTCAACCCATCGAAATATCTCCTCTACTTTGGTCAGTTAATTCCTATGTCACTTTGCCTCTCGGTCAACTCTAATCAAGACATTTCGTCCAGTCGTTCGGCCTGGTTGCCATGCAAATCGCCACTGTCTCTACAATCACCGCGGCCATGGTCGCCATCGGCCTCACGCGTGGTGCCCATATCCAAAACCACATGGACGTACAGGTCTTCGAGGATGCCAACGACCACGCGCTTGGTCAGCCCATCTTCACGCCATACCTGGACGAGAACCTCGGGCCTAGAGAGGAATATCACCGGGTGGGAAAGAGAGGATACTACACTTGCTACAATAGACAGGTGCGCAACGCAAATGACGATTTCCCTCCCCATCATAATGAACACTAACGATAGATAGACCAACTCCATCTCGGCTGACGACTGCCAGAAGGTGATCGATAGGATTAACGGGCTGAATCAGGTCCTCACTGTTCCCAACGGACTATGCATGGTCTGGTTCCAGGGAACCTGCATGTCCCGACTGTGCGCCAAGAACGGAGCGTCCAAGGGCCTCAACACAACTTCCGATACAATTGTTGGCCAGCTGTCTGGCACGCTCCTCAATGACTGTGTCAAAGTCGGCCAGGACGGGGTTGCCGGGGACTGTGCCAACATGAACGGCAACTGCGGCACCTACCGCCTCACCTTCGAACACCATGGCAATGAGGTTTTGGGCGGCGGACCGAACTGAGATTGGGGCCACTGGTGACTGCAGGTCGGTGCTATCAATGATAATTCTGTATTCTCTCTGAGCTCTCGGACCTCAACGTCGCCTGTCACAGTGCTGGCGACATTAGACAGCCAGCTTTGAATAAAAGGTTATATCATAGTCCCCACAGGTTCCAACTTCCAGCCCATAAGTCTTCTCCGATGGCTTTCAATCACTCCCGCCTAGATAGCTTGTGAAAGACATGTAGCTTCCTGCTTCCAAGAGTAGTCGGCGATCTTTGGTAACCTCTTGTCTCGGCATTCTCCCTGTCACACATTTTCCAAGCGGGGGGGTATAGGCAGTATGGACAGCGCCACTCTTCGTTCCATGAGGCCTCGTGACCTAGTTCATCTCCAAGCAGCTTGTGTTCCAATACTCGACGACTGCGTTACCCATGAGAGCATTGGACTAGAGGCTAGGAGACAGTGTTTACATCGTTAGGCTGATCGTGCACGAGGACAGGACACACGTCTGTGAGCAATTAGTAAAGCCCAAAGATGTGAGTATTCATGAGGCAGAACGGGCAGCGCTCGTACGTATCATGGAGTGGAAGAGACCTCCCGGTCGCCTAATCAAAGTCTTGTACTCGCGAAGATCCAATTAAAATATCCTGTGGTTTTATGCATTGACTGTTGAGCACTATTGCCGCTGGCGCTTGACGGGACTGTCTCGTGAATTTCAGATAAAATCTAACGTATTTGCGTCATCATGACCTTGAACCGGGTCTTGCCCGCCAACCTAATGATAATCGTTCGGCGTGCGCGATCGTGGACCTGGCTGACCCGTAGAGTGTGTCCTCTCTATGGATGCAAGCGAAGAGCATCCACAACCCTGAAAGAGACAATATCGCAAACAGTGCTCTACGCCAGAGAAGGGATGACGGGTATTTTTCGTAGATGTATGACCTGGAAATTATCCGTCGCAGAAGGGGGAAATTTGCGACTGCAGCCTTGAGCTCTTCCAGACTCGATCGATAGAAGACAAAGGCGATCAGAGCTATTCCATAACCAAAGACTTGAATGGGTGAGATGGCAGTACCCCATATGAGGACCGATGCGACTACGAGCAATATGTTTTTGAGGACCCCTGTTAGATGGAGGATGAGACCAGAGGTTTTGCCAATCTACATGGTCAGTGTCTTATCTTCAAGGGTGGGCGTAACGAGACAAGCGACTCACCAACATAACGCTCGAGATATTTAGTAGGAACGCTATTAAGGCGTTGAGGAACAGCATTGTTGCCCCCGTCTTCGCAATATCAGTCCACTGGAAAGACTGCCACTCCGCAGCCCATGCAACGAATAGGTTCATAACAGCACAGACGGGTGCGAAGTAGTAGAGGCTGACGAGAGGATCCATGTTCATGCCGGCACTCGACATAAGCGCCTGGATCATGACAACGCGGATCGACTCAAAAGCCAGGCCACCGAGCTGGAAGAAAAAGCCCAGCCATGAGAAATGGATTTCTCCAGCGCTAGCCACCAGAACGCCAAAAACAATCATAAGGATCTTGCAGACAACCAATGTGGTCGGATTCTCCTGACCCCATAGCCAAGCCACCACAAGAGTAGAGAACGGTGACGCGGCCTCCATTAAGTAGTCAGTATAGTCAGCATAGCCTTATAGAGGAGAGAAAAGACCCGTTGCTCACCTTCAACATCTGAATAAATGCAACACTCAGGTAAAGGTAGACAAGGTTGCTGCAGACCAAGCTCCCGCTGTACAATAGGCCGATTGGCACAACTGCGCGCGTGTACAGCTTCTTGGTCATCTTGACATTATGCCGACCATCAAGCAGTCTTGTTGTCTTGGCGAGCAGCTGTGTCGCGAGCGTAGCAAATATCATGTGCCAGAAAGTCAGAATAACGGCTAGAATGCGCTACTCAGCATTTCCAGGTCATTTGTACGTTGTAACCTAGACACTCACGGTATCCTGGAATACAGAATTAGTCAGTGCTGTAGCGGATTTGTATTGTACTCTTTAAAGCAAAACATACTGAAACCAGCATCATCGATCAACCATTTGTTAAAGAGAATTGTTAGGTTAGAGAAGAATATCCAACTCCTGCAGAGGCGATCGTGGTCAGCGGAAAGACACACTACGTTGCGAAGGACTGTCCCACCCAACATAAAACGCCGGATGCCGAGAAAGGCCAGCGCGTCTCTCAACTTGTTTCTCAGACGAAGCCGATATTGGCAGGAGCGGTTGAGGCATGCTTGCACAAAACAGAATGAGCGGACATGAGGCAAAAGAGAGCGAACATGGGATCTAGCTGCTGCAGATATGGATGAAAATTGTAAGAATCTAAGAGTAAGTGGCCGAGGAGGGTGAATAGATATTAACAGGCGGGCGCATTTTGGGGATGTCATGTCACTTCAGCTGTACCTAGGTAGGGGCCGCCAGTGTGACGAGGAATGGGAAGAAGAAAAGGGAGGCTGATGATTCGAATGAGGCGAGTCTTGCCTCCCAGCCATGGTGCGCTCAAGAACAACATCAGCCGCTGCTCCCTTTTTTGAATGCTTCTCAACCTGCACTTCCCAGCTGAATCTCTTGCATCTTGGCACGTCAGGTGGCACCTGACAAGCCCTCTGAAAGCAATAGCCCTTGCCGTATATCTGGCATTGTGAGAGGCCCAGCCACGAACTACGACAGGCGCTGGTCTCGTTCCTAAGACACGCCGCCTGGCCAGAGTGAGACACGTTGCATTTCCGGCCCGGGCGACATCGCCCACCGGATCCGCAGAGGTCAGGTCTCAGCCAGGGAAGACGGAACAACCGAGGAGCGCGTTGCCATTACTCATAATATTGACGATGTTTGCACGTGCGGTGTGTGGTGGAATTGGTGGTGCCATCTACCTAGGTATCGGACGAAGACCTCCCTAGAAGAGGTGGGCCGTTAGCCCCGTTTGGATGCCCTGAATCTGGGGAAAAGCTTGTTTAGGGGGCCTATTGTGGTAGTTCCAGGGTTCATTCGAACAGCCATCAGCTCCCCCTACCTACCTACCTATCTATGTACCTAGGTCAGGTACTTAATAAGGTAAGTTACGTACCGTAACAAGTACCCAGGTAGCCAAGTGGTGCGAACTGTAACCTTGGAACAGTGCCGGGTTTCCACCTGCGTGCAGCTGGCGAGACAGCGTCTGCCTGGGTGCCCCTGAGCTTCAGTGGGCCGCTCTTTGTTTGGAGATAATCCCCCGAGCTATGGGTGTGACGGCAGCGGCGGCGGCTCAGCCGAGACCACCTACCTTAAGCTTAACTAACGACGCTGCGCGATCAACGGCGCCCGGTCAGAACTGTTGCGAACACGCCGCATCCCGTTGAAGTGCCGACACCCTCATGAGCAGCGCTTGAACTGGGGACCGCCAATTCGTCAGTCCCTCGGGGGACAGCTTTCTCTCGCCATGTCCAACTTCAAACGAGCTCCGCAACCTGGCCACGCCATGGCTCCGAGAGGCGGCATCTTGAGTGTGCTGCAGGCAACGACGATGCTCGACTCGAAGCCTGTCCTACCGGCCGGTACGTAGACATCTCTCCAGGTCTCGCGGCTAAATCCGGTTGCTGATTGTGTGAATAGAGATCATCGCAACTATCTTGGACTACCTGCCGGTTTCCGATCTTATTCGCTTCGCGAGAACCTCACGACGCATGCGCGAAATGGTCTACGACGATACGAGATGGGTACCGCGACTGCAAAGCATGGGAGTTTGGAACGAAGCCGAGGCGAGGCAAAGATTCGAAGATGCAATGAAGCGCAAACGTGAGGCGGCCGAGCGTGGAGCAGCGAGCAGCGGTCCAAGTCCAATCACTCCGAGAGTGACAAACACCACCATATTTGATGCTGCGCTGGAAGAGGAGCGGCAGCAGAAGCCTGTGCAACAAAGCCCACAAGCTCCAGAAGTAAGGGTGGACGGCTTCGAAACGCTTACCTTGAACTCGTCCCAGTCCAAGTCGCCTTACGAAGACCCCGAAACCCTTTTAGATGTTTTGAAGACCGTCAAGAGCATACGTGGTCATGCACGGCCTGAGTATGGCAAGGTATATGGAGCTCTGGCCCCCTTCTACTTTGACTTGGTGGAGGCAAAGAGTCATGTCGATCCTGTTGTGTTCCGAGTATTTCGGGATCCGGACCAACAGGCTCGAATGTTGAACAACTTGTTCACCTTTTCCAAGAGTGATTGGGCTCAAGGATGGGCGCAAAGAGAAGAAAAGCTGTCAACTATGGCAAGCGTGTTCGAAACGGCCGTGTTGCGCGAATTCGAGCAAGGCTATGAGTTCTGGGACGTCGACGGGCGAATGAAAAAGTATGCTCATGTTCTGCATGCTCTGAATGGCGGGAGCGCGGCAATGGACCTGTTCATCTCAAAACACCCCTTGTTGGACGATCGCGATGTCTTGGCCAACTCTACGGATTGCGTCAACCAAGCTTCGTGGGAAAATATTACCCTTGAGCCCTCGCGTATGTTTTTTGAAACACTGGCTAAGAAGGCAAACGAGCAGTCCTCGGTTATAGCCCGGATTTTCCCCAATGCAGCAACAGTCTTCTGGGCGCTTCTGGACAAGCTGCAAGAAGATGTCATTACGGATTATGTCACCTCGCTCCTTGATGAGTTACACAGACGGAACAAGGCCTCATACCTGAAGGCTGTCTCTGGGCTCTTTGAGCAATGTCTTGCCTTTGCGCGATCCTTACATCCGCCATCAGGCTCTGCAGAGGAGCTAGAAGAGCATGCAAGACTGATCGCCCTGCATGTTTTTGAGCAGCATCTAGATTTGTACTTGCAGGATGAACTGGACTTCTTCACACAGCATGCGGAGCGAGAGGTCACAAACTGGGCTCAGCGCCTGTCTGAGCAGGATCTGACTGCCGAGTCATTCTATATGAGCAACTTCAATCGGAGGGCAGACAAGAATGACTTCTTGAGTTCTTTCAAGAAAGTCGTCATGATGCCCGTGACGGTGCTGCCTTTCGGCGGTGCTGCAGCGAAGCCTGCTGCAACGCCAGCAACTAATAGAATGAGTCTCCAGCCAAATGGAGTACCAACACCCTCTACCTCCCGACCGCATACGCCTGGCCTCGGAAACCCGCTGGAGAGGAAAGAGAGCCCTCTTCCATCAGAAGCGCCAACCGACGAGCTGAAAGCAAAGGCAGCGCTCATGGCAAGCAGATTGGAAGGTATTAAAACCCTCTGCAGCATCGAGGTAGCTCTCGATTTAGTGGCACAGGCCAAGACGAGTCTGGGTCGAGTCGCTATGTTTGTGCGGCTCGGCGGACAAGCTGGTGGGGAGGCACGAGAGCAGTGTGAGGCTATTTTCATTTCCCTGTTGAAAACTCTCGGTCACATCCATGTGAAGGAAGGCTTTGTCAAAGCCGTTGACCACCTGTCTCTGTACAACCCTAGGGAGGTTAGCGACCACAGCCAAACGGGGGTCGCGCCACTGGTTACTTTCATCGAGCTCGTCAATGTGGGAGATCTCATCTCACAGATGATTGATGTCTTTTACGAACAGCAGCTAGCGGCACCAAAGATCGCAGATCGGAACGACTTTCTCGATCCTGCAGGTCTCGCCAAGAAAAAATTCGAACAGATGCTGGATGAGAGCGTTGCAGCGGGTCTCAACAAAGGTATTGACGTGCTCATGGACGAAGTAGAATATCTCTGCGCCACTACACAACTGCCGACCGACTACAATCCACCTCCGCCATCAGAGGAAAAAGGAGCCTCCCAGGACTTTGACATCGGGCCCTCGCAGACTGCGAAACGGATCAAGGATCTTGTCTCATCCCATACGAACATGCTCATTGGTAGTACCGAAAAGACCATGCTCGACGTTTTCAATGGCGAGGTTGGGCTCCGCTTATTTACAGCCATATGCAAACACTTGAAGCGGCAACGCATCAGCACGGAGGGAGCCATAAAACTAATTGCTGACATGAACTTGTACTTCGATTATATCCGCACCCTGAGAAACCAAGATCTCCTGGCGTATTTCAAGGCTCTCCGGGAGCTGAGTCAAATCTACCTAATCGACGCGAAACATGCAAAGGAGATGGCTACTGTCATTGCAGACGGAGATCGGTTCGGCGGTGTCTTCAGGGCCGAAGAGGTCTATGAATACGCCCAGCGAAGGGCGGATTGGTACCAAGTGAAGCGCAACGTCGAGAGGGCTATGTATGGCATGGATTGTAGTGTCATGTGAGACGACTTAACGCCGCATGACACTCAGAATACGAATGAATATACAAAAGCCCTTTAGTGGCTTGAACCATTATGTCTCGAATATTTGCTCTCGCCGGGCACGCCAGAGCAGATATTTCTTCCTAGTCTTGATTTTCATAACGGGCAGAGACAGGTCGAATAATGAACGCAGAACGCCTCTGCCTCTTACGCTAAGCCGCGACTGGTTCGATGCTTACTGAGCGCCTTTTAAGATTTTGACATCGCTCTGCAACGGGTAATATTTCCGTTTCGGCACAGGTGTGCCCAAAAGTCTAAGTGTGTTATTCCAAAAACCATTGCTTGGCTGCCAGGCAGCCATTTCTATCGGCACTTGCCTACCCACTCTCGGAACCAGTAGGGCTGACAGCCTCCTGCACACCCGTTACAGATTGCAACTCCCGAGTCCTTGGGTTTGGGACCACACCACGGCTATGAGAGATTACTCATCCAGTCATGAAAAGGACGGTCCGGCGAGGTCGAACGCCCCATGACTGTTCCCTATCACGACTCGGTATATCCCAGTACCGGTACGTAACAAATATGTGCACCTCAAGATAAGCTTGATCAACCACCTAGACTAGAGCCAGAATCACAGATGGCGATACCGGGCCGCATTTCCTTGCGAAGGAGAGTACAATCTCGTTGTTGACTTTTCGTGGCCTTTCCCCAGCCAGCAGTTGGTCGACTCCAGGCTCCTGGAGACGTTGATCCAGGCACTATCACCCCGCGCGTGCTATTTTAATCAAACCCACTGACCAAAAAGGGTGGCCCGTACATGAAGCAACGAGATTGAACCCCTGTCATTCGTATACCCAACTTGAGCACCTACCGTTTCTCACGGGAGAGGAAACCAATTTTCACCCCTCTCTTTGACAGCCGCGTGGCCACCCGATGTTGAATCAACTACTACGTTAACATCAAGCATATTGTCGATGCCGTTTACATTCACAGAAGCTCTTCAATATTGCCGGCTACTGTACCCATGAACCTCGGAAATTGAAAACTTCCGGCCCCTGGTCCGTCCGTATTTCCGGTCTGGCCAACCTGAATAGGAAACAAGAGAGTCAAGCTTCGACCAGGAATGGAAACAGGGTCATCTCGCGCCCTTATCCTCATGGTCTACATGCTGTCCATGACTCAAAGGCTCAAGAGTAACCATGCAGAAACACACGGAGAAGACCTGCCCTCAAACAGACACATGACTCCTGTGCTATCAACCGAGAACACCATCCAGTAGCACTTTGGCCTCTTGTCTGTGTATGGCGTTGAGGCGCAGCGTCCCTCTATTGATACTAGGGCCCACGAAGGTTGCCCGACTACTATTGGGTCATTGTGGCTGGTACATGCGCGGTCCGACAACTAGTGGCCGCATTTCACCCAGTCTACTTCGTGTGCGTGGTAGCAGTTGTCAGCACTATGCTTATTGGTTCCCGTGCAGCATTTACACCTGTTACGTTCCACAGCCTCTACCTTAAGGCTGAGAGCCGAATCATGCAGGTGCCACGAGGCAGAAGCTCGGGCGGTACGGGGCTCATCCAAATCCGATTGCAGGTTCACAGGTTCTTGGGGTCTCTCGGCTCGGTGGCTGCAAAAGTTCTAGTGCATGCAGCTTGTGCTTGCCTCCCAGAACTGGCTAAGTAAGATCTGTGTCCATGGTCTAGGCCACCTCGAGCAGTCGACCTGCAGGCATATTTCTAGGATTTTCTCAATCTTAACGACTTTGCCAGCTCTTGAAATCGACATGGGCTCTGGCATGGCACGTCCAATGATGTAGAGTCCCGGGGTGGCAGTTGAAAATCTGCGAGCTTATAATAGATACCTTCATGGAAGAAGTGGCATATCGGAAATATTTGTTGCCACGCCATGATCTCCAAGAGAGGAGAAGAAAAGGCAATTTCCCGCCCGTTCACTCATACATAGAATACAAGGATACATCAACTATGTTCTGCGGTCAAGCCGTTAGTCGACCTTGGTGGACGATTGGGGCCCGTTCTTCACCCTATGATTTGCAGATCAGGATGCAGCCAGCCCTACCAGTCCCAAAATAGTGACCGTTGCTCCTTCTTGGCATTATGTATGCCTTGGAACTGTCTCAATTCTGAGGGGCTGACCAGTAACCAGACCAGCGGCGAGACCAGTGACGGGGGGCCCCAGATTTCAGCCGCTTCTTGACCATGGGAGCGAAGCACTTGGGGGCCACTCAACTGTGAGTGACGTTACAGGCCTTGAAATCTCGAGACGCCACGCAGGAGAGCGGTCTGTCCTGGTTTTCCAATCAGCTCAAGCGGATGGTGATGTTGTTGAGAAGCTGGATGGCCTCGGCTCCTTCATCACAGCTCGAGGTCCCTTTACCTGCCCATCGATACACGTCCACTTGGTGGGGCATTCCAATAATAGCTTGAGCTTAAATCTAGCTTCAACCGCTACTGTGGGATTCCATGCACCACACCCCTGCCTGGCCACCCAACCACAGCCAATCCCCGTTTCCCAGCATCGTGAAGGCTGGTCGCTGGGAGGATCTTTTGATGTAAATCCATACCTCTCATGGTTCCGGTAGAGATTCTCGAGTGAACCGTTACCATTTCATCCTTGAAGCATCGGCATGTGTCAATGCTAACAACAGAACCTCTTTGGGTTAGCGATAGCTCCGAGCTGAACCACAACGGCGTCTTCGGCAGGCCTACCCGAGTACGGTCTAGTCCTTGGTTAGGGATCAGACCGGATGGGGGTTTGACACAGTCACTCGTGCAGAGTCACAATTGCTCGCACCGCATGGCAGTCGTCATCAGCAAGGTGAGCAAGGCCCGTCAACGTCAGTAGACCAGCTATATTGATGCAAGACACGAGATTAATCTTTCGCGGATATAATCACTTTTCGAGAACTGTCGGTTGAAGTAGGGATCCTACAGAGAGACACATCCAGGATTCACGCTCCGCTGTATGAATCATCGGGGTCAGGTGAGAGAAATGAGTCGCCCTGCAGCGAACCAGAGCCAGGCACCGAAAATGCCGCTAACCCCTGATGCCTTGCTAGACAATGGTACGCCCCGACAAATTGCCGTCTGCCAGAATAGTCAATTTCAACGTCGGGTCACTTGTCCACGAGACTCTCTACTGAACACATCATCGAGAGCCCGTTTCCCAATTGTAGACGTCTCGTTCCCCATTGATCAATCACAGCTCGGGGCAGAATTTCGTATACCCCCGACAAAAGTTCTATTTCCGGTGGCCGCCTGCTCCATCCTGTTCCCAGCACGGAATAGCACGGCGCTCGTTTATCTCGGGTTTGATGCCTGTTGTGCAGCCAGGTGGCTCTCTGAGACTTTTTAGTGCCTGTAGATCAATGACAGACCGGCTCCTTCCCGTCGGCTGGAGCGTCCCAGTTGTGCATAACCATTTACTGGGATGCCGCTGCTTTGGATACCGCAGTGCGCTGAGCTAAAAGTGCTTTGCATCGTACTTCGCGTACTCTGAGGGTCCCCAGCGTGCCCAGCCAGCGTTCGCCTAAAGTTCCGCCTAACGGGGCTTCGTGGCATAGTGCCCGATTGGGATAAGCTGCCCCTGGTAATTGGAGGATGCCTTACACAGGGGACTATTGACGAACTCCCTCCACTCCACCAATGCAGCCGCAAGTTCCAGTGTCAGGGTCCTGGCCATCTCATCTTGTTTTTCAGTTTCAGTCATGGGACCCGGCTATTTCCCGTTATGTTTATCACTCATAGCAACAGCAAGTCCATTCAGTGATCGACTACTCTTGCCTGAACCGTATTTCCTCAGGTGTCTATATATGCTGGAGAGGACCTTTGGATGTATGTTCAGGAAGCCTCCTCGTCAGTAGTCAGTCAGCAATGATCCAATGGTCGACGGCCCTTTCATAATTTTTTCTTGACTTTCGTGTATAATACCCTTGTACATCCTGAACTCACTAGTCATACCCAGATTGGGAACCGTGAATCAGCCACCAAGGTTGAATGGTACTCAAACTGAACGGAGTGTCTATCCGTTTCTTTCAGCCGCATCGCCGCTATATATATACGCAAGTTGGCCGTTTCTAGTACTTGGGCCATCTGTGTATAAGATCGATGACTGCAGCCCGAAAAGATTCCTCAGAATCGGCATCTTCCCAAGAAACAATACGAAGAAGTACAAGAGGAGAGCCCGCAGCTCGAATAGAATATAGACAGGCACGTCGTGGTGACCATTTACATTCAACCACTCCTATCAATTCACCTCCTATTTCACCTAGGATCAGGACATCTCGACAAACAACAGTTAGGTTTGGCCCAGAGAGTGAAGAAATCGAGATGCCTTCTTCGTCGAAACATCACGACTCTAGCTCTAAGAGGCATTCATCATCTAAGTCCAAGTCGTCCAAGTCAGACAACTGGGCCGAGGTCTCAGAACCAGAGGAGAGAAGGCGGATCCAGAACCGTCTAGCTCAACGCAAATTCCGTACGCGTTCCATCTTTGGTCCATCGTGAACACACGAGGATCCTGTTTTGCATCCAGGACTAACCCCGTCATCACAGGCGAGAAGGCCAAGGAGCACAAGGAAAAGACCGAGCGCGACTCGCGGAACCAAGAACTCGCAGGCAGCTCCTACCAAGTCGCCAGCTCCGACGACTACCTGCAAGAGGAAGAATGCTCAGGCCTCCCGTGGGGGTCCTTCAGCATGCGGCATGTGGTGGCTCGCGGCCACGAAAGCGAGAGTAGACGAGGCAGCGGCCGTGATGAGCACGCCCGCGATGCCAGCAGCCAGGTCTACGGGCAGTACGGCGGATACGATACCCACCGGAGTTACAGTTATGGTAGCTACAGCCACGGCAGTCACGGCAGCAACAGTGGTGGTGACTTCTTTGACGACAACACCTACTATTACCCAGATTACGACAACACAGGCAGTGGCTCCCACTCATGAGTTTCAGTGGCAAGACCACGCCCGTAGCAGGACCACAAGACGCCATGGCTACAGTCGGATTGTCTCTATAGATCGGCCACTCCCATTTTCTTCCCACTTCTCTTAGCTTCGGTGAATATGGCATGAGAAGCTTGGCGGTACCTTGGTGGTTTGGGCCGTTTGGTTGGCTGGAATACGGCGTGCAATGGAGTTAAGACTCGGCGTGTTTAGGGCTGAAATTCCTTTGATTTTGGCGAACTGTATGTGTGCGTGAGATGTTTCAGCGCTTGGATACCCCCATCTCCTGTAGAAATAGTTGCCTGTTCCCCTTACTGCATTTCCTCACTACTCTACGTCTCCAACTCAGATAGAAGCAACAGCGTGTAGACGATAACGACGAATAGATGTCATTCCGTCAGAACCTGACTAAATGCGTGCATGGGTCTCCTGCACTACAACGCAGCAACTCACACCGAATCCAAGCAGAAGGGCGTGCATGACATGTCGGAGAGTCCGAATAAAGCAGCATATTGACACGAAGGACCTTAGGTGACGACAACAATTGTTGCGAATCGTTATGGGTACTCGACCCTGTCGATGTCAGATAGCAAAGAGCCAAGTTATTCGCAGGCCGCTGCGTTGTATTCTGGCGTTGCTGCCTGTGGGCTTAGGCCTGGTTGCGTACCTCGCGGCTAGGCTGCCATTTCTGTTGAGTCCTATAGGCATATAAGGGCGCGCGTTACATACACGTAACGCAAAGAGGCTTATGCGGCTAAACTATAGACTAGGCTAGTGGCTGCATGTTAATAAGATGACGGCGCGAACGTTCGTTGGGGAAGTATGGGGAATTGGGTCGGACAAGGGCCTGACTGAGTCTGTCTGCCTTTTCCTTGGTTTGGATGCTTAAGCGAGCAGCCCCCGGCAGGCCCCGGTACTGGCGGTCGGTGTGTGACTAATACATCTCCGGACCGCTGGCCTCGCTCGTGCTTTGCGACTGAGGCATCGAAAATGAAGGGCCTCGGATCTGTCGGGCCTAGTTCAAAAAAGGTTATGCAGGTGTGTTATGTCATCATTGCAGATGATGAATCAATGTCGAGGTTTGGGTAACTCACGGAGGCTTGCGACAGCTGACATACTTATCGACCATGCGGAACTCGAGAAATATGGCTCGACTCAATAGCATACAGCGCTCCTGAGAGATGAACACCGAACAGGACATGACCTGCCGCACCAAAGGACAAGTGCAGCTTTAGCCCCGTGGCTATGCCTGAGAAGACTGACGGCCAGAACACATCGGTGCCCTGCTCCTTATCTGTTTGTGGTTAGCTAAAGCGAAAATGGAGATACTCCTTGTGCATTTTTCAGGTGTCCTTGTCAAGCCTGGTTTGATGTTTGAACAAGTATCAAGGGGTTCTTCAAACATTGTTGCCTCACCGGCAACTCTAATTTCCCATCTCACCCTCAAAACTGGCATAACTGAGACGTGTCTGTGCAAGGACGCCCAGGCAGCACAGACAACAATAATATGAATGTGAAATCATGCTGCTTCAGCCTGCAGCACCATACACGTATTGTGGCCGTGTCTGAGGTCGTAGACTATGGTTAGGCAGATCCCGCCCTGCAGGATCTACTGAAGAAATTGCATCTTACTGAAACAAGGATCCAGGCAATGTCCTTGAGCCAACCGACAGATGGCTGATGACGAGTCCTAAATTCGGTCGAAGGCATGATTTCAGCTTACTGTCCTCTGCTGAGGCATAATTCACCTGACATTGTGCAAAAAGTAGGCACCGCATGTTTCTTGGTTTGATTAAGTGAGGGTCACCGGCTCCCAGAGTGCCTGGCCACTTGCCATTGAGCAGAGTCACTGTGCAGAAATACCAGTCGTTGACCCCGGTCCTGCAAAGCGCAATAGGTTGGAACATCCAAAAGCGAGAAAACTCTTGGTTAATAAAGCAGCGTAAACCAAAGTGATAGGTGTTACGACTTTACAGCGCGTTAAGTAGCCAGATAATGTCCCCAGTCAAACCCCTTAGTGGGGACTCTCTTCAGACGTATCGCTGGTGCGAGACAATTTTTGTTCTTTCAGGAAGGGACGCAAGTGTCAGAGGTGATGGTAGGGTAGTGCCGCCCGCCCTCCTACGAGTAAATGAGTGACATGAACCCAACGACTGGCTTGTTGATACATGCAACTCGCAATTTAGTGCCTTGCAGGCTGTGATCATTGACAACTTCTCCTCTACAGTGATTTCTGTAGAGTAATCAGTGCAAGTGGTGCAATTGTCGTTCTCCTTGGCAGTATCTAGGTTGAGAAGGCGTGATTTAAAGAAACCTCGGGTACAGCATTCTTTCTCGACCTCTGCTACCCTTGTCTGTTTTGGGGGAAAGGGGACCTAGGGTCAACCGGAAGCTTTTCTCTGAGATATAGATGATCAACTTATATGCGAGAATGTGGCCAAACGTCAGCATTACCTATACATGGGCTGTCATGAGCACATTTGGATATCTTCAACCAATACAACAGCCGCGCCAGGATGATGGAACTAGACAGAAAAGGTGGCTTAGTTTGAGATTTCAATAGCAAGCAAGATAAAATGCTACATAACGGCAGCTTTGCTGAGAGTACATAGGGTAAGACTGATCTCTACCCTAATAGAAGGAAAATGACGAGTATCATGTACAATCAGCCCCTCGGTCACGACATGTCAAGCCCGCGGTCCCGTGCACGTCCTCGTCTCAAGTCCCTTTTCAAAGACTTGCTGGGTTGGTCCAAGAAATTGAAGTAGCGGGGATCGCTGGGCGAATGCGTAGGGATGAGACCGAGTGCCGTTGAGCTGGGTGCATGTCGTGCGTGTAACTGCTTGAGATAAGTTGAGTTGACTTGACTTACAAGTCGGGTTAGGGATCGTACAAGTGGGGGCCTGCCTGGGCTGAACTAGCCAATTGACGTTTTTGGAGGAGGACCCCTTGAACCCCCAAGACCCCCTTTTGGCCATCAATTAACAATTACCCCCCCAAGAGACGCACTGGCCACTTGCGGCCGGAACGCGACCTTTCGACTTTGACGCGTGGAATTCGCGTCTTTGGCCGTCTTTCTCGTCTCTCGACCCTGCTCCCACCAAGTTACCCATAACGTGACCGCCGTGATCAAGCCCCAACACCTCGTTCAGATGTAACCATTGCCTTTCCCCACGCGACGCAATCGTGATTTTGGCCTCGTTTGACTGCTTCTCTGTTTGTTTTTCCCGTCCCCCTCCTGCTCCCGGGACTTATCATCGACTTGAGCATACGCGACCCCCATCACTCGTGTAATAAAGCTGAGCGACGTGACCCGGTTCGTTGAGAGGCCAGGCATTGGACGCTCGAGATCGAGGGCCGCCGCGCTCGTGCAAGACTTCCAATGCCTCTGTTCGAGATGTCAGCCAACATCCAGGAATCAGAAGCTGCGTTCCGAAGAAGAAGCCACGACCAGTTCACCGATCCCGCTTTCAAGGCCGAAGGCGCCGCAGCTGGCCTGGACATCAAGGAGGAAGAAGCCTCAGCCATCAATGGTTCACTTCGAGGTAAGTCAAGCAAGAGAAGAAGAAGAAGACAATACCTACCCGGTTTCCAGTTCTTGCAATTAACTCTGACCCACTCTAGATATCCCATCTGTCTCTGTCACACAACACGACGTCAAAAGGGAGAGGGATAACAGCCCAAGCTTGAGCTCAGACTCCGACCTCAGCTCACTGAGAGACTCGCCCTCTCCTACGCAGATGGACCTCACACCCTCGACTTCTCCCCTGGCACCGGGTCACAAAGATTCACCTTCGCATCCGACAGCCGACGCCTCTAAACCCGCAGACCCTTCCTCCACACCGACAACATCTGCGCAGCCTGCCACAATGCCCACTTCCGCCCCGGCTTCTTCCTCGGCTTCCGCATCTGCCTCTGCTAAGCGGAAACGGAAGACCCCCGCAGAGAAAGAGGCGGAGGACCGCGAGCGCGCACAGAAGAAGGCCAAGAGGGAGGAAGAGCTAGCCGCCAAGGCCAAGGAAAAGGAGGAAAAGGAAGCCGCCAAGGCCAAGGAGAAGGAGGAGAAGGACGCCGCCAAAGCAGCAAAGGCAGCCGAAAAGGCAGCAGAGAAGGCCAAAGCTCAGGCCGAGAAAGATGAGAAGGCTCGCAAGCAAAAGGAAGAGGAAGAGAAGAAGAAGAGAGCACAGCCCAGTATCTTTGGCTTCTTCAAGAAGCCAGCCGCGCTCGGAGAAGTGTCTCCCAACAAGCAGCCCGCCTCCAAGCTTGTGGATGGCTCCCCCATCCGCCCAAAGGCCGCATTCACGGCGACGCGAAGTCTCAGCCCCTCGGTCAAGGACGTCAAGCCGGAGAAATCAGCGTACGAGAAACTCTTCCAGCCCTTCTTCATCAAGTCGGACGTCACCGTGGCACCGCCTCTGCTGCAGATGGACGACGAGACAAAGGCTGCCAAGTCACGCATATTGGATGAACATCTCCGCAGCGAGCGCAGCGATGTTGCCCCTAGGCCATTCGACCCCGTTGCCGTTTTTCAGTTCAACGGTGTCCCATCTCCACGTGGCATTGAACACCCGGCCGTGAGAAAGGTCATGGCCGAGATGTTTGGAGATCCTCTGGACAACACCTCGAGGACGGAATCGCAGCAGGTTCGGTTCAAGGGTGTCCAAGATCAGTTAAACTCGATTCCCGTCAAGATCCTGCATTTCTACGAAGATGTACGACCCCCGTACGTGGGCACCGTCACGGCGACCCCGAGTGAAAAGCTACGACGACTGGCCAGACGCCCGATTGGACGACTACTTCCCCTCAACTACGACTATGACTCGGAGGCTGAGTGGGAAGAGGAAGAAGGCGAAGACCTGGACGATGAAGAGGTCGAGGACGAAGAGAATGAAGGAGAGGAGGAGATGGCGGATTTTCTGGACGACGCAGACGACGTCGCAGCTGCCCGCCCGGCCTTCTTGGGTGAGACGGAACCCGTCAGCACCGGAGTCTGCTATGAGAACCGCAAGAGACTGTCGCAAAAACCCAACGGAGAGGACTGTGCAACCGTGTACAAATATCGCATGGAATTCCTGCTAGGTAAGAACATCCGCGCAACCACGCGCCCTACTCTTGACTAACGCCCTGCAGAATCTCTCGAGTCCCACCACTCCATTGATCCCTTCTCGACACAGTACTGGAAGCCCAAGGTCGCCGCTGTAGAGCCGACCAGTGCGCAGTCCAAATTAACGGCCGGCACAAAGCCGGCCAAGTCCGGCATGGCACCGCCGCCGCCGCCCGGCTCGGCACCAGCGACATCCACATCGGCGACGGCGGCAGCAGCAGCAGCATCGCAGGCGCAGCCCGACTGGAGCACGCTGGTGCCCAGGAACCTCCTCCGGGACTTCAAGAAGGCCGTCGTCAGCTCCGACATCAACTTCCTGACCAAGGCGGGCATCGTGGACATGCTATCCAAGCGCTTCGACGGCGCGACCAAGAACCAGGTCAAGGCGACGCTCGACTTTGTCGCCGAGCGCTCCGCGTTCCCCGGGGAGAAGAAGAGCGCCAAGCGCTGGGTGCTGCGCCCCGAGCACGCGCTGAACAAGGAGTAGAGCGTGCGCCGGGGCCTCCGGGAACCAGACGCCATTTGTTTTTTGTTGTTGTTGACGATGATGCCTGGCTTGAGAGGCTTGCATTGTGCGATTCTGTCTCTCTCTCCACCATTATGTCGTGGAGTTGTGTCCATGGAATGTACACCACGAAGTCGCTCTAGAGGAACAAACCAGCTAGATCGGGGTACGTGACTGGCTCAAGGCCCAACTTTGTCGGCGGGCGCAGAGACGTTGGGAGCCGGATAGGCTGACAACACTGCCGTTTAATGATGTCGTCTCATGGAAAAGAATATTGGTCATGTATGGGAAGACACAAAAGAGCCAAGACACGTGCTTCTTGTTTTTGCTTTGTTACGGAATAGGGGATTTCTCAGGGACGCAGGCGGACAAGGGGTGGGGGCGTACGGAGTACAACATGTGTTGCGGTTTGTGTCGTGCACGAAATACCTTGATAGAGCGTTTTGCCCAGGGAATATTATGATGATGAAAACGTGCGACCAATTCGGCTTCCTTGTGCGTGTACGCAGTAGTAGGAGCCAAGAAAGTGTCGAGGAAACGTACACCTTCTCACGAACACAGTCGGCTCAGGAAACATTTTCAAAGACCACAATGGCGTATATAGTCCACAAGGAAGTTGTCAATTGCAGAAAAAAGCTATCGCAATGTCACAAACCTCGCTAGCTAACTCTGGGGCAAAAGATCATCCACCTCCAAAACGGGTGGTTTCACATCCGCTGTCGGGGTGGAACTATGCCTGGCCTCAAATGGACCGCCTTTCCCCCCTTCCGCTCCGGAGATATACTTTTCCCCCTTCCCTAGTGACTTGGTGTTACAGATAAAGATACACAGAGTTGGTTGGGTTCGCCACGGGGTTTTCACCCAGTCTGCTGCCGGACCGAGGTCTCAGTGCGCGCCGTCATAGGCAGTGACCACAAAGGAGTGGTGCTTTCCTGTCCCTCGGAAGCGACGGGCACCTGGTTTATCCACGCCCCGTAGGGGCCCGCAGCGTGCCTGTTCACTGTCCTTGCGAACCTTTGCTTTTCAGCCTCCTCCCGGGCCGATTGAAAGATAGTGTGGATCACGAGGCTGGACAAAGTCTCCCTACGACCGCTGCTCCTCCTGTCGTGCGTGGTGGTTATCGTTGGTGGTGGTATTGGTGTTGTGGTTTTGGCGCTGGTTGCGCTTGTTTCCCTGGTTGTCGCCGTGGTGGTTGTTCTGCGCGCGTTCTCGGCGTTGCTCGTCGATGGTGGCCCGCTGGATCATGCTCTCGTCGTGTGTTTTGAACTCGAAGCGGGTCTCGGGCGGGCACTTGAGCAACGACTTCATGGATTCTCTTGTAAGTAGGTTAGCAGCGTGGTGGTACGCATGGCCGTCGCCGAGACAGGAAGGGGCCGACCTACCTGATCTTGAGAACCTTGCCCCCCGTAGAGGCGGTCCAGATGCTGATAATGTCCTCGCCGTTGCGTACACTGATCACAGCGCCGTTAACCTCGTCATTGTCCTCGCACAGCGTCCCACCCACACAGGCCATCAGGATCTCCTCCCAGTAGCGGTCGGCAACGCCCTTCTTCAAACGCAGCACCCACTTGCCACCGCGCTTGTTCTCGTCGTCCTCCCATATCGGCCGGACCCCCTTCTTGAATAGATGGTAGTCGGTGACGAGGGGGAGCTGTGAGGGGGGCTTCAGGTGCTTGTAGACGACCCAGAACTCCTCGATGGTGGAGCACTGGGCCATGGGATGCAGCGTCTTGTCGTAGTCGATGTAGCCGTTGGCCTTGCTGATCGGGGGCCGCGTCCAGAAGACCCAGCTGTCCTGAAGCATGTGTGAGGAGCCCGAGTCACCCAGCGCCGCCGATTCGGCCGCGCCGGGTGTCGGTTTGCCACCGGCCGGCTTGGTCGCGTCTTTCAGCGACTTCTCGGCCGACGGGGTCTTGCTACCGGCGCCCATTCCCACGGAGCCCATGGCCATCTCGAAGGGGTTGCCGGGAGTCTTGGGGGTCTTGGCGGAGCCGAAGGAGGCAAAGGCGCCGGACCCCAAGCCGAAGGCGCTGGATCCGCCGGCGCCTATGGGGGAGGCGAGGCCAGCTCCGGCGCCAGCTCCGGGGGTGGTCGCGGAGAAGGGGTTGGCGCGGCCGTGGGAGGATGTGGCGCCATTGCGGCGGGAGAGGGACGAGAAGTCCCTCGTCGAGGTGGAGGGGGACTCTTGGGTGCTTGTAGTCAACGATAGGTTGGTGGCGCTGGCGGGTGGCATGTTAGCTGTGTGGAGGCGGGGGACGGGGACGGGGAGCTCGGCCGCGGGTGCAACTCACTTGGGACGACGGTTCCAGATCGTGTTCTTGGAGTCCATTACCACCAGCGTCTAGACTACAGCAACAAAGGCGGGTTTGGACGAGGGGGGGCGGTGGTGGTGATGTCAGTGGGCGGTTGAGAAGCTCTGGTCTGGTGAGGCGTGCGAGGGGCGATGGAGATGGAAGTGCGAGTTGGAGGACGTATGCGGATACTAGCTGGGCAAGAGGTGACCCGGCGGACAATGGGAGATGCTGGATATGGAGGTTCGTAGGACGAGGGGGTAGAGTCGTATGTTGCGCGTTGGGGGTCGTGTTTCATTCAATAATACTGGCGAGTGGGAGGGACGTGTTTGGATCGGGATGAATTCTGTAGGTCAAAGGTCAGGTTCGGGGTCAGAGGTCAAGCCAGGTCGGGTCAGGTCAGGTCGGGTCAAGGACCAAAGTTCTTTGCAGCGAAGAGCAAGGCATGGCAAGGCCCCAGAGTGGACGGCCAGCCGGGGATGGGGACCTCGACTTTTCAACGCCGCCCTGTTACTGGTCCAATCCGCGCCGCGGCGCCTGCTGGCCGCTGGCTGTACCACAGATAGTGCCCCGTCGTCGTCTTGATTTTTTTTTTTTTTTTTTTCCCTGCCAGCTTGCAGGCCACGCTGCTCTGCGGCTCCACAGGGGCCACAGCGCCTGGAAAGCCGTTAACCCGCGACCGGTCTAGCGCTCTGGCGACCACCCAGCCGCCTGGAGAGAGGCGCCCATGACGGGTCTGCAACCCGGAAGGGCCTGTCAGCCTTGAGGTCCCAGACAGAGGCCGACACGCGCCTGCGCGCATTGGATGCCACTGAACACTGAACACTGCACACTGCACACTGAACCGGAGCCGCACCGCACTGGAGCCACTGGAGCCACTGGAGCACCGGATAATGGCCGGCTAAATCCACCAGCTCGCGCCGCCCATTTGACCTCTGAAAATTTCGAGGCTGCTACAGTCCTCTTCTCTTCTTCTCTCAACAAAATGCAAGACCACCAACTCAAATCATCGCCAGCCTGCCATTTGACCTTACGCTGCTGACGACTCCGATGTGTGTGTCGAGATTGACCTACGAGCCGTTGTTTAAAACCATCATCACGAGGGCCCCTTTTTTGCGTGTGCTTCCCATGATGCGGTGATGACCTGAAGCAATATCGGACATACTTTTTCTTTTCTTTTCCTTTTCTGCTGTTGTTGAACGATTGCTGCGTGCCAAGTCCAACTGATGCACCCTTTTGAATGATTGATCTCACTGTTCGTGGGAGGACATGGGCACGTACACTGTCTCGCTATCTCTTCCGTGTGGTCAAACACCACACCACCTTGCCCTAGGTAGGTCTATTTATCCAGTTGGAGCGTCTACTGTGCACATGAGGTGCTTTTCTTGCCATGATGACACTAAACATTTCTGGTAATCCGACTCAGCCAGCTCATGTCTTCCGGGAGCCCCTTCGGGTGATCGGGACGCGTGGTTGAGCGTGTCGACAATGGCTCCGTCTGAGCATGAACCCGTTTCTTAGCCATTAGCTGGGGTGCAAGCAATACCGGCAGGACTTGACTGATAGATAGTCTGACAGAACACGTCTGGATTAGAAGAAGAAGAGGATTTACCTCCCCGTCCGTCTCTCGGCTCTCGTGATTCTTGCCCCTCCCGAGGTTTACGTATGATAGGGCCGGGTTACCATGATGAGACCACGTCGAGTCTCTCGCCAAGTCACCTTACGTACGTTTGCATCATGGCACTTGATGCGCCGGCCGGACTCGGGTTCGGTCGTGACCTTATCAAGGCTTGCTATGTGTGCATGAAGTCTGTACGTAGGCCAGCTCCGAGGTGACCATCTCCTCTGGTTATTTTGAGTTACTTCGAGGTTTGTCACCGAAATAGCTACGCATATCAGAAAGCCAGACACACGGTGCGCAACGGAGAAGACGTACGAATGGAGTTTTGGCAGGACGCACCATCCCAGGGAAACAAGATGCGTTTGAAACTTCTTCTGATCTGTAGAATTTTATCACGGCTCCAGTAGACAGTATTTTCGAGATCGCCGGGTGTGTTGCGCTTATGCTCCCGCACAGCATCTCAAGATAGGCGTATCTCAGCAGACCGCCATGGAGATCACAAGCATTACCACCACATCTGGACCGTGTACCTTGCAACGCCGTTCTGGTAACTTGGAAACAGTCCAGGGAGCTCGCGTCACGGACCGAGCAACCCCTTTGCCACGTTGTTTGAAGCTTACCAGGCCGTGGCACAAACGTAGACACAACGGACAGAGCACCACCGTCCGGGTTGCCGGGCACCTCTAGCCCCCATTCGCCATCCATATTGCCCTGCACAGATAAATCCTCCTCCTCGAGTCTCGGGCGGCGCCCAAGAGCCCAACGAAAAAGATGTGTTCTCGCCAGGGTGGGAGCGATGGATTCCAAAAACAACAAAATGAATCGTACCCCCTCACCCGAAGGCGAGGGCTTTTAGACAGTTTTCTTAGGAAATGTAGGAAAACCAGGCTATCAAAAATATAGAGCGAAGCAGGAAAGGAGAAGAGAGTCGGCGACTTGGGGCGGGAGAAGGGGCGCCTTGAATAGTGATGGGGTTGTCCAGGCTACTGATTGTGCATTGTTGGCCTCAGGTCGGCGAGGCCTTGACACTAGGGGTATGACACAAAATGCATACACACAGGAGACTGCAGCCATGCTATGAAAAGCACACCGAAATTTTTGCAGTGCCTCCTTTGCAGGACTAGGGAGATGCTAAACTTTGGGCTCATGTCGACAATGCGTTCGAAGTAGAGTATCTACGAGCCGCATTGGGAGCTTGCCAGTCGAGATTCATGTATCAAACCTGCCGACCATTTTCGGGCCACCTTGAATGAGTGGTAGACGCAATGGCTGCCCTCAGTGGTAGCAAAAACCAATGCAGTATACGTTCTTGACTGACAAGATAGAGAACAAGTGCAATTTGGGGAGGAGTACAAGAATATGGCTGAGTTCCTCCCGAACAGTTCTTCTTTGACCACCTCTTACCAGCCCTGTGACGCATTATTGGCACCACGGGCCGGCGTCTTGTGCGGTTCCTCTTGATCATCTTTGTCGTCCCACTCGGCCATACGACCTCGACCTAGCTTCGCCTCTCTTTCCATCTGCTTCTCTCTCATGTGCGTTGGGAAGGGGAGATCCTGCATGAAGGGTTTGGGGACAATGAAGCGCGGAGAGCCGTCTTTAAGGCAGTCCGTCTTGGCGTTCAGACCATCAAGCATGCCGCCGCTGACGTGGTTGACGAATTTGCGGAACTCGTCCGTTTCGCGGATGTTGCAAATGCGGCTGGCCTGCTCGGCGTGCGACATAGCTGCGGTCATTGAGTTGTAGATACGCTGGCAATGCGGACATTGGAATTGAACAGTAGGCTTGTGAGCCGGCGACTGAAGATGAGCGATCAACCCTTGAGCGTTCTTGAACTTGGAACTGGAGTTGAGTCAGCGAGAGGAATCTGCATGAGAAACGGCGGCTGCGAGAAGGAACATCACGTACTTGCACCGGGGAGCATGTGGGCACTTGAAGCGTTCAAGCAGGGGAACGTAGAAGACAGCAGCATTGAATCCAGGCTCGCTAGGATCATCAATGCGCTGGTGAAGATCGATGTCTCGAGCAGAAGGAGCCGCCTTGGTACAATCCGCAAGCTGACTAGGCGTAGGGCTGATGGAGGAAGTTGCACCAGGAAAGAGGTTTTCCTGGGTATTCCACTTGTTCTCAACCTCTCTGACAGGCGGGATCTTGGGCTTCACACGGACATTCCCAGTCAACAGATCAGGCTGTTTCGAGTAACCGGCCCGAAAGTCCTTGAGCTCCTGGCCGAGAGCAGGATAGTTACCAGACTGCAGGTCACCAGGCCTCTGCTCAAGCGGCTGAGCGCCTGCAGGGTACCAATTCTGCATCTTGAGATTCTTCATTTTACCGGCCAGGACAAAGTCTGCGTTGGCGGAATCCTTCTTCTTCAGAGCTTCTTCAAACTCGACCGCCTTCTTGCGTCGTTCATGGAGCATCTCAGGGAGGAGAGGGCAGGAGCGTTGCTCAACGTGTTGCATCAAGGCGCCCGCTCGGATGAATTCGTCCCCACAACCGGGACAGACGAGCTGTTGAGGCTGTTTGTGGACCTACAGATTGTCAAGTTGGTGTAGGCAGCCTCGAGGAGACAGCAGTAAAAGTGATTTGGCTCGAAGGTAGGGTAAGGTACGGTGCGTGGTGGGAGAGGTAGAGAAGATTGCTTGAGATGGGATTTGGCAAACATATGGACGTCAAGAGCGTTGAGGCCAGCAGTGTCACCTGTATGTTGAACAGGGGAACGTCAACCAAGGGGTGGAAAATTTGAGCTTCTGATATTGGGAGATGAGATGCCACAAAGTGGGAAGGAGTGGAGGGTTCAGAAGCTGAGGGAGGACTGCGTGGCCTTACAACGGACGAGAGATCTCATGGATCACCAGACGAAGACGAGAGGGGAGTCGTGGTTGAAGTCAAACGGTGCTATGAGCATCTTCAGACCACAAGAGGGAGAGAACGAAGTTCAACTTACAGTTCCGTTGTGAAGAAACAAAGCGTCCTCGTCATAAAAGTGCGTCTTACAGAGATCGCACCAGAAGTGGCACCTCTTCTGCCGGTGAGCATTGAGGCCGGCCTTGGTGTGGTAGTCAGGGCTGGGGCATTTGGGGACCTCGCAGCTGAATCTCGGCGGGCTGTCGGGCTCGCGCGTGTCAAGGCTCTCGGAAGCGCGGAAACGAGTCTCTTCATGACCCGAAGGCACGTCGTCGTGCGGGTCGCTGATGTTGCCCAACGCGTACGCGATGTTGGCCGCGGCCACTCGTGTGCCGTCCTCAACGTAGCTCGACATGGCAGCGATGGCTAGAAAGGCAGAATCTAGTTGATGGTTGTTGATGAAAAAATGACCCAGTCGGCGAGAGAAAGAGGGGAAACGGACGGAGATGGAAAATCGTCCTTCTCAAATTTGCGAAGTCAGGGAAGAGGGGTTGCGAACAGATGGTTGGACCTTGGTGGTGTTGGACAGGTCCTAATATCTGTGGACTAGGAAATGTTGCCTGTTGTCGAGTAAGCGGGATTAGTCGACGGCAAGGGAACCCGGTTGCTCGAGAACTCGGCTTGCCGCGCGCCGGATAGGGGTTTGTCAGTTTTGCAGCGGGATATCGTGGACAACACAAAGGTACTGATTGTTAGAATATTCGTTACGCCGCCACAACAAGCCAACAAGCTCATCTAAACACAGCAGCTATTCGAAGGAGGCAAGACCCAATATGCTGCCAAGTTAGTAACCTCAGACATACCAACATCAGTGGTGTTCGCTCTAGCGTAGTGAACCCATGGTCCCTCTCGTATGGGGCTTGAGACGGATTGTATATAGTTTCACGTGCCAGTTAGCCGTTCGCCATCTGGTCAAACTTGTGGCCCCCGATGCACAATCTAATGAGAAGTGAGAATCTTGTTGTGAATAAATCACCCATGTCGAACCTGAGTTCATGGTTTCACATATAGTCACATGGCTACAGACAACGACAGCATGTGTGAGTGAGGAACAAGTACGTTCCTATGCAATCAGTAGCATTGTCCAAGCTTCTGTATGTGGGTATCAGAGGAAATAACCTCCTGTACGGAACTCCTCGCCAGGATTCCGCCCTTGGTCATTGAACGCCGCCCGATGCAATCCCTGCGACGCCGATCGCTGAATAAATCACGAAGTACATCATTCTTCTTTTTATACAGGTGCGCCCCCAAGGTCTTGGCATGTACTCCTCCACTTTCTGGCACAGCGCCAATCATGCTTTGTGTTTTGCCTTTTCTGCTTCCACATCATGAAGAAGACTCTGCATCTGCGCCAGCAAGTCCGGCTCGTTGCTCATGGATCCACTACTCCTGACTCGCTTATGAAGACTGGCTGAAGCTTCACTTCGGTAGGCAGCAAGATCTTCATCTTCCGTATCATCGTGGTGCAGTAGTCTCTTACGCTTGAACGAGACGTTCGAAGCGACAGAGGGCGACCGACTGACGTGGCTTCGTCGGATGCGCTCTCGGGGCAGGGGTGGACTGTCCTCAAAGAGCTCATCGTTAGTCGGCAGCGACAGTGGAGATGTTTCAGAAGCCGTGGCTGGAATGCCGAAGTTGCCCAACCCGGGAAACCGTTTTCCCTCCCGTAGCATTGGCAAGGCGAGAGACTCGTGTAGATACTCGCCGTTGGGCATCTGGACAAGCCCATGTGCCTTCATTCTCCAATAAGGATCGGAAACGCGGCTTTTCTTGGGTTTTGCAACTCGGCTACTATTGAAGCCTTGGCTTGATCGATAGCTCGAGCTGAATGTTGAGTTTCGCAGGCTTCCCGTTGACATGGAAAGTGAATCCCGACCGGCTGCGAGAGCTCTGAGTTTTGCTGTCTTTGTACCCTCCTTCTGGGGGCGAGGGTGTCCGAGTCGGCTGAGCGGTGGTAGGCCATGCTTCTCGCGTCGCTTGCTTTCCTGCTGATATAGCATCTCAGAAGGCAACATACCGGTAGGCTCTTCCTCGTCCATCACAGCGTCACGGGCTGCGGCACGCTCATCGCGTACTCCGCTGAGTATACCGCTAGCGAGCAAGGCATCCTCGACGCTTTGGCTCCGCGACTGAGTTGATTCTCGTAATTTCTTCTCTTCTGTTGCCTTGCCTTGAGCGCTCCTGCGAAGCATGCTGATGGCCTCCTTCTGGCGTGTCTCCCTGGCTTCGGTAGCTTCAGCCTTTCGCTTTGCAACATTCTCTGGTGCTTTCCACTGGCGGAACTTCTCTTTCTCCATCTGAATGCGTTTGACAACCCTGCGCTTCCGGAAGATTTCGAGCCATCGATAGAAATAGGTCACTTGCAAACTGTAAGTCCGGAATTTGCGGGCCTCAGCCCATGATCTCTCGTCCTCCTCCTTTCTTTTTCGTTCCTCCTCCTTTACTTGAAAATTGTCCCATACATCCTTCAAAACCGTTTCCACAGCCCATTCCTCCAAATGATCATCCATCAAACCCCGATCACCACAGACAAACCAGCGGGTCAAGCTGTCTAAGGGGTTCTCTTTTGGCTGCGTTTTAGGAGGGGGCAACTGCGTAGTTGGAGGAAAGAGACTGGTCGCAGTTGCAGTCCCACCCGTGCTCGTTGTGGCGAAGAGAGGATTGGTTGTTGTCGCCGAGGGCTCAGAAGTATTATTGGGGGTGAACATCGGCTTTGCCCCGTCACTTCCTGTTGCCTGAGTCGTGTCTAGTGCTGGAGGTTGGTTTGCGAGTTGAGTTTCACCCGGTGTCTGATTAGTAGAGGGAAATGTGAGAACAGGGGGTGACGAGAGGCTTCTGTTGCCTGCAGCTCCGAACAAAGGGCCAGATGGAGGTGTGCTTGAGTCGGGAAATTTGAAGCTGCTGCCTGAGGTAGAGGATACCCCAGAAAGCACTGATCCGCCTTCCATTTGGCCAGGTTTGCTGGACGAACCTGGGAGGCTCGAGGGGAACCACGAAGCGCTGCTGGAAGTCGATTCTGCGGGTGCAGTTGGCTTCTTGTTATCATTTCCAAGGAAGCCAAATATTCCGGACGGTGCACTGCTGCTCGAGCTGTTGACATCGGCACGAGATTCTATGTATTTGACCTGAGTTTCACCAAAGGTCACTTTCTTCGCTGCATCCGTGGCATCGGGCGCTTTCGCAGTGCTCTGTGTGGTCGACAAACTGCTAAAAGGGCCACCTTGCGCAGGGTTTGTAGACATGCCACTTTGTGACAGCCCGCCGAACAGACTGACGGTAGGCGAACTGCCGAATATGCTTCCGCCTGTGGCACTATTCGACGGAGCAGGCGCCTTCTGAGCCTCAGGTCCTGGTTGTGAGAATATCGAGGTTCCGGGATTAACACCGAGGCTGGTATGCTGTGGACCAGCCGCGCCGCCGGCAGATGGGGAGATACTCGCCATCGGAGGCGCCTGGAGGGATTCTGTGTCTTCGAGTTCAGAGTCTTGGATGGTTGTATTATTCGATGTGTTGGAGATAGCTTGTGTTGATTCAACAAACATGCTTTCTTCGTCAACGTCGGCATTTGATGTCATTCCAGGCTCCTCAAAGATGGTTTCGTGGACACAGTCAGGAAACGGCCTCCCACAGCGTTTCCTTTCGACAATATCGTAAGAGAAAGAATGAGGTATACGAGGCTTCTTGAGCTGCTGGTGAGGTTTGACAAGCAAGTAGCGCAGTCCATTCTCCTCCTGAAACTGTAAGCCTTGCAATTCTGCGAAGGCAACCGCGTCTTCAACACTGTCAAAGCGAAGCTGCCGCCTGAGAAATTCCGGAGTTAGATCCTTGGGTGCGCCTTTCGGGCGAGAGTACGATTTGATGAGCATCTCAAGAATCGACTGCCTGACAACGCCGAAATGGACCTCGGCGATACAGGCCATTGTATATGAGATCTGTGGAGAAGCAATAATAGAAAAGAACATCGATGCGACGTTCACAGCAATCTCAGTCGGAGCCTCAGGTCTCAACGGGCCATGCGCCATGGTTGTGTTCTGCATGGCTTCGATGACGCAGAGAGCCGTTTGAATGGCCTCCGAAGTAGATATCTCCCCCCAGCTCTCGACGATGTCCTTCAGTGCCGGATCCCAGGCGAAAAACAACACGTAGTAGGCGCGGAATTCAGCTTCGTTCTCACAAGCGATTCCCATATCAGCGCAGTCTTTGTATCGTTGCCGTAACGTCATTAAACACTTATTGAGTTGTTCGACCTCCTGCTGTTCGGAGTAGCTCTCATAGGCGAAGCTTGGCTGTGCAAGCAAATGTGCCGAAGTTGCGTGAAATCTGGCGATAGTTTCCAGACAGTAAACCTCGTGCTTGATCTCCTCGGGACTCATGGACGGCGTCTGCATAGATAGATCAATGCGGATAGCTCTCGTGCGATCCCAGGCAAAGTGATGATAGGTTGAGAGCCGATCATCGGACGCAATGAGGTCGTCGATCAGGTAGTCCAGCGTTCGTCTACACGCGGCTGGTGATCGCACGTCCATCGGTAACGGTGCTTCTTGGCCCGCAGCAGAACGTGCTAAACGCTTGAGCATCTTTTTGGGGATAGGAATTCGACGCGGCTGGCCATCCTCATCCTCGTCCTCCGCTCCTTCCGGTTTCCATACACCCTTCTCGGTAATTCGAGTGATTTTCTCCCACTCTGGACACATTTCCTCGCAAATGCCCTTGAAGGGTAAAGCCTGGTCCAAACGGCGGCGCTTGTCGGGGTCGTCGATAAGGTCAGCCTTCATCAAGGCCTCACGCGCCTTGTCCCGATATGCTCTGTGGGCTTGGCGTAGATTGTCCATGGCCTTCGGCTGAAGCAATGCATCGGGGTCCGAGGGCCATACCGGAGGCTTGATGCCAACCTTTGCCAGCTGCTTGTAAATAGTCGCCGCGAACTCGCTCGGGGCACTCTTAGGCTCTGGTCGTTGCTGCCGGCTCCCAAGCTTGGATGTTGAAGGCTTTGTGATATTTGGGCCACTCTTGCGTTTGCCGTTCACCTGCGACGGCCCGTGGCTGGCACCCGTAGGCTTGGCAGTGAAGGCATTCGCCGTCACCTTTGGTCCGCTAGGAGGGTTGAATCCGCCTTGTTTTGCGCCATTGCTTTGGGAGTCTGTCAGGGATGGCTTTGCGGCTGTCCTGGAGAACGGGTTGGGTTTCGGTGATTCAGCATCATCCACAAAGGGGGACTTGGAGGGTTTTCGTGCGGCGGCCGCAAACGGGTTGGTAAGTGATTGCTGAGCTGCGGGCGCAGAAGGCGCTGTGAAGACGTTTGTGCCAGACGGCTGGGCCGACCCCATTTTGGCGAAAGGGTTGACGGGTGTCTGTGCAGCCCCCGAGGGAGCGAAGGCTACAGTGGAAAGAACAGTTAGCTCAACACGGGCATACGGCATACCTGTCTATACTGAATCACACTCTGATCATGGCGATGATGGGTTACGACTGGGCTGACGTCCAACCAAGTCTTGTAGCCTCCAGGCTGGCAGAGACAAGACCGCGGGTTTTCGAGAGCGACGAACGGCCGGCCGTCTTCTCCAAGCAAAAGCATGCAGCAGCAACAACATGGGCCGAAACCAGTCCCTAAGCTCTTTCTAGCCGCTCAGACCTGGCGCGCATGCTATGATCTCCCAGTCGGGTTCCAAACAATTCCATCGCTGTGATCCTTCCCCTCGAAAACATCCCGCCGCTCCCAACTGGATCCCGACATGGTCGCGAGGAAAATACCGGCTCGGAGTCGTCGTGATCGTAAGGTGGCATTGTACGCAGGGTGGCTGGTAGGAGAAATCCATGAACTCACGATTGTTGGAAGCCATGATTTCAGCGTGACGCCAGCAGCCGGGCTGCGGGTCAGTGATGGCGGAGAGCCTGGCGCCGGATCATTGATGGGCGGACGAGCACGCGGAAGGCGGTGACGAGCGTGACGAGGTCTTCACGGCGGCGGCGGCGGCGGCGGCGGTCAGCAGTCGTGATGGCGCGATGTAGAAGCTGCAGGAGGTCTGTCGCGGCGGGACGAGTGCGGCGACTGGACGCGAACGCAGGCGGCGGAGATGGATCCCAGCGCGGTTCAAAAGGCGGTGCGAAGGACCTGCAGCGCTGGCTGGAGCTGAGAGACCGATCCTCGGTGGGCGGAATTGCCAGACGACGTCGTGAGAGGAGATGGCTGGGATTGTCGACGGTGCCGCGCTCCTCAGATTGAAGGTGAGGTTCGGTCGCCAGTGGAAAGCGGGAAGCTACGACCATACGACCAATCCAGAAGAACGGCCCTGGCAGCTTTGACCGGCCCCCACCTGCACGCCGGATTTGGCCTGGTCCGGCCTCACCAAAGACCTCCCGCACTCGCCGCTGGCCGTGCCTGACCAGAGAGACCGATTCACGCATTCTAAAAACAGATTCGGGAACGGCAGTTTGCGTAAAGACCACCAGGACATCCCGGGGTCGGGAAAATGGGTTGAAATTTCGGAGAAGGAGGGAGGGAGGGAGGACTATCAAGTTTCCACGCTGCACTCACGAATGACCTTGTAAGCATGTTTCACGTTGCCCTCCGTTGGATGTCCCAACGTATTTACTATAAGTTTATCTGCGGTCCAGCAATTCTTCGGTTGCAGGTACCGCCCTCGTTTCAATCGCGATTTGGGAAAAGCTGTCTGGGCACAAAGCGGCCATCACGGCTCCCACGCAAAGTACAGCGAGTGTGGTCGCGCGAAGACGGTTCCCGCGGCAGTGGAGTAGATCCCACTGCTTGACAGCTCAACGACTATACAACCGCAAACATTCTTGAGCAAAACCCAGCTGACTGACGGCGACCGCAAGTCCAGTCCAGTCCAGCCCAGGCTGGGCAAGAAGAATCAAATGTTGAAATGTCCTGTGGTATCCCATCGAGACGTTAGCTAGTTGGACCAATGAGGTCATCCGGACGAGCCTTTTCCAGCGCAGGACCCTGGTCCATACGCCGGGAGTCGATAATAAGTTACCTACTACGGCGGTAGCGTAAGCGTGCTATCCGTCCTCCTGCAGCGGCCCCGTCCCAATGGGAACCCAAAATTAGTTGAGCCAGCCAGCCCACTTCAATGTTGCCAGTCGCAACCCAAACCCATCCGAACTCCAGAAACATTCGCCAATGTCGCATATCTTCAGCACATTTCGCGGGCGCTATCCTTGCGGGTGAGCTGTCGAACATTGATCCATACTTGCTGCCGAAGTCGAGCCTGTCGCTACCTAGTTCTTTGCCGCCCTGCAGCCAGTTGACTCGATCCCTTTGGGGAAGCATCTGCTGACCTCGACTTGCACGCTCCACGGCAACGCCAGAAGAGAAGGCCGCCCGTCTTCGGGCCTGACCCGCGCAATCATCGGTCCTCATCTCACGCACTCATCGTCGGCGTTGCGATCAATCGCCATCGCCTAGCCTCCCTAGCGACTGGGGGGTATTCCGATACTCAGCAGCAATCACGCGCCGCCATTCACCACCTAACGCCACAACATGGCGTTTCTCGAAGACCCGCGCCTCCGCCAGCGCTGGAACCAGATCTCGCATACCACCGAGGCTGTAACCGAGAATGCCGCCGCCGGCATCTGGAGTTTTGGCCATAGATATATCAACCCCTGTCTGGAATCCGTAGGGGCCTGCGTTGAGAGCTGCGCTGCGCCTTGTCTGGGCGATCGCGAGGACCGAGCCCGGAGGAGAAGGGATCGTGAAGCAGCAAGGGGCAACGCCGAGTACAGCTTCGACTTCTACGATGACTGGGACGAGGACCTGGGCGGTGAAGATCACGGTGGCTTCATGGGCGGCTGGCGGAATGAGGACTGGGATCGCTTGATCGGTGGCAGTGGCAAAGCCAAACGGGGGGAAGCTGGTGAGGTCCAAGAACAGCCTCGCGGCAGGAAACGCGGCATGAGCTATGGTACGAGAGGAGCGCGGCGGAAATCCAGCATAGCCGAAGACCCGACCATCATCCCCAGCACCCAACCTATCGGCTTTCTGGGAAAATTGCCATTCAAGATCGGGGGTACTTTACGATATAAGCCTAGTGCGGCGAATCTACAGGAACACCCAGGATCCTCGCGGCATCACGATGGAGAACAGGAACCGCTGCTCGGACGCGATGACGACTACCACCCCGAGGAACCACTACCGCAGACTAGGAAACGGAGCGGGACGACAGGAAGTGGAGATACCAGTGATTCCTATCGGTCCAGAGGAGACCTGTTCCCGAGCGACGGCGAGGGTGAGGAGGATGCCGTGCCGCTCGATGATGAGTTTGCAGTCGCGCTCGATCGAGTGGACGATAGGTCAAGCAACAGGACCAGGAGCAGTAAAGGAAAAAGGACAGCAAGCTACGGTATTGCGCGCAGTGGATCACGAACCACTATGGACTCGACGTACTCCCGGCCCAGTTCCCTGAGACCGGCACACAGCCCAATGTTCGAGGCCGAAGATCCTACTCTGAGATTCACCCCATCGCTAGATGACCTTCAGCAGGAGGAAGAACAAGTTCGGCTCGAGGAAGACGAAGAGGTCGAGAAGAAGAGGCAGGCGGCAGCGCAATTAGCGCTTCAACGCGGATTACATCGCGACCATGTTGAAGTCGAGTCCGTAGCCGAGGCCAAACCGGAGATGGTTGAGGTTGAGGAAATTCCAATGCCAGAAGAAGCCGAGCTGGCCGACACTGAAAGTCTCGCAGCCGCGCCGACCCCGACAGCAGCGGAGGAGGGCCAGACCTCGGCACCTAGCGCCGGAAGTTCCGACCCATCCGGAGACAGCTTCGTTCCCGCCCGGCTCCCCTACTTCCGGTGACGAGGACGGCTACGAATACCATAATATGCAGACCAAGACTTACGAAGCGTATGCATTGCACGACCATGAGCAATTATTTCAGCCTACTTGGAGGACTACATACCAACAAGTAGCTATTGCCAATAAGCGGGTGGTGATCTTAAGGCCCTTATCAACATCACCTGTATAGCAAGCTTTAATTGACATTTTTTTGAACTACTTCAGACATTAGGCCAGGTAAATCCTACTTTGGCGACAAGGGGACTCAATCTGCATCTGTAACTCAAAGTGACTATTGGCTCGGGAGCCTCTATCAGCCCGGAAGCCCGACGACTATACGATGCGATTTCCCCATTCGACAAGTCTGGGGTCGGGGCTCAGCCAAGTCGATTAGCGGTGCTGCTCGCTGGCGCCTCCAACGCCATCGCCTGCCACCTGCGGCACAGAGATGCCTCGGCACCGTCTTCCCCCGCATGAACTACCCCGGATGCCCCACCACAGCTCTCCATAACGGGGATGTAATGCGGGCGGCTGAACAGGGGCGTGTTGAACATCAGGGCAATATATTTCATTCGCTGGTGTCCCCGTCGTGGACGCTCGCTGTCCCTGTTCATTGACATACGATTTCAAACGATATCTAGCGCCTTGATCTCTCGTGAATGTGGTTCGGATGACGCAACCCTTGAATACACAGAAGTTCACAAAGACGAACTGCGACTCTTACCACGAAATCTAACAAGGAGTGCAATCTAGAAGCTGCCAGGAGACATTCGAGAACGCTCTCTTGATAATTGGCTTCTGCCCGTGCCTGGACAATCCACAGAACTAGTCGTATCGACTCAGCAAATTCCTGCATTATTCACCATGACGTCTACCAACCCCAAGCTGGCCCCAACGGGTCCCATAACCACCCCCTTGACCAAGCTCCTCGGCATCCAACACCCGATCGTGCTGGCTGGCATGGCCCGAACCTCGGGCGCCGAGCTGGCAGCCGCCGTGTCCAACGCGGGCGGCCTGGGTGTGATCGGTGGCTTCATGTACACGCCGGACCAGCTGCGCGAGATCGTCGCCGACATGAAGAAGCTGCTGCGGTCGCCAGACCTGCCCTTCGGCATCGACCTGGCCCTGCCGCAGGTCGGCGGAAACGCCCGCAAGACGAACCACGACTACACAGCCGGCAAGCTTGACGAGCTAATCGACATCACCATCGACTCTGGCGCGCGCCTGTTCATCTCGGCTGTCGGCGTCCCGCCCAAGCCCGTCATCGACCGCCTCCACAAGGCCGGCATCCTGGTCATGAACATGGTCGGCCACCCCAAGCACGCCGTCAAGGCCCTCGACCTCGGCGTCGACCTGATCTGCGCCCAGGGCGGCGAGGGCGGCGGCCACACGGGCGACATCGCCAACAGCGTGCTGATCCCCGCCGTTGTCGACGTGGCGCGGCGGTACCGGCCGGCGGCGCTCAAGGGGCAGACGGCGCTGGTGGTGGCCGCGGGCGGCATCTCCAACGGGCGGTCGCTGGCCTCGAGCCTGATGCAGGGCGCCGTGGGCGTGTGGGTGGGCACGCGGTTCGTGGCCTCGGCCGAGGCGGGCTGCTCCGAGGAGCACAAGAAGGCCGTCGTGGCCTGCGGCTTCGACGAGACGGAGCGCACGCTCGTCGTGTCCGGGCGGCCCCTGCGCATGCGCACCAACGCCTACATCGCCGCGTGGCACGCCCAGCCCGGCCGCATCAAGGAGCTGACCGAGCGCGGCGTCGTGCCCATCGAGTACGACTTTGACCAGGGCAATGACGTCGACCCCCCGCACCTCATGGGCCAGGTCGCCGGCGCCATCACCAAGGTCCAGCCCGCCGCCGAGATCGTCGCCGAGATGGTCAAGGAGGCGGCGGACATGCTCAACGTCGGGAAGGGTTACCTCGCACCCGAGGGCAGGAGCCGACTGTAGACTCGTGGGCGCCCGCGCCCGCTAGCTGATTTGCACTTGCATGTTTCGTTGGGTGGGCTAAAGCTCGGTGGCTGGAATGGGAATCAAGAGGGGAGAGATGTAATGCAGAGACCGGCGGCAGGAGTGCCGGAGGCCAATAGGATCGACAGGGCCAAGGCTTGTGTTAGTGGTTGCCTCAAACCGGCGCAGGTGGCCGTGCGTTTCGAGTGTATAGGGCGACGGGGTGGCTGAGAACCAGTGGTCTCTCGGCAAGATTGGGTTGCGGTGGCGGCTTGGCCCCCGAGTAGGAGGTGTCGGAGGTCGAGGAGCGCAGTCGTTCCGTCGGTCTGTCTTGCGAGCAAGTCCCACCTGTCAAGTTCTCACAACCGGAGGGACGGGACCGAGATTGCTCATGTGTGGGTATAGCGACTTAGTCAGTTTCGTCCCGTCTTACTACTGTACTTGCAGCCGTCAGAAGCGGCGGGCGGCAGGCAGAGCAGCGATCAGGGTTCAGAGAGCTGCCGCGACGTCACACGTCGGTGGGAATGGCACAATGAGATTTTTGAGTTCCTGTGCGCCTGGCTTGGCACTATGCAGGACGCGTGGAATACTGCTAATCTATGTAGAATAGAGGACGTAACGCAAAACGAGGACTAGTTATCTAAGCTCGCACGCGCGCCCGCCACGTTATGGGATGATGCAGACGGGCCTGTGCAGTAGACCAAACTCGTCAAGGGCCAATAATCCCTTACTGATCGACATCCGTTCTGCTATCCGCTCGTTTCACCATCCGACCGAGATCTGCATCGGTTGCTTTTTGATTGTTTATGTGGTTTTAAGTGTCTGCACTGGCGAAGAGTGGATGAGGGGTCTACTGTTGATCACTCGAGTAACTCAGGGTCTGGTCACTGCGGCGCGGGATAGTCGATTGCTTATTAGTCTTAGTGTACCAGTCGTAGACAAATGTTGATCAGAGGGGTTGCCTTAGTCCGACTTGCCGCAATGAGACCACCGCGTTAACTCATAGATCTTCGGGTTTTTCTTGGAGGGGTAAGAGAGCAGTGACCAAGGTGCAGGCTGTCAGTACTCGTGTGTTCTACTTGCCAGTACGGCCTGCGTCAGCTCTATGGCAATAGAGCCATAGTTTTGCTGGTCACCGGCGAAAGGGTGCGTTTTGGTGAAATGATTGGAAAGAAAAATTGAATATTGTTCTAAATCTCTGAGGTGGTATCATATGGTATCATCTGTAAGTATCGGCGTAAATGCAATCGTGAAAAGCAGGAAGCGCGCAAGTCCCCGTATACTATCATAGCCATCTATCACCACAACTCTTCTTGAACACCGCCGTCACTACGACTGGCTCCTTCTCCCATTGCGCGGGCAGTACCGTCTTCAATGTGTCCAATTCTTCTCGCGCTGCCTCCATACGCTTCTTCATCGCGGCTTCGGGCAAAGGCGTGGATGGTTCCGATGGCATGGCAATCTCTGCCATCTGTATCTCCTCGATCCGTGCCACCAGCTCCTCAATGTCGTCATGCGTGTCGTCCTCGACCAGCTGCGGCGAAGGACCTAGTTGGAGCTTCTCGGTATCGTGGACAAAGATCATCTTTTGCAGGCCGTTGAGGTCAATTTTCTTCCAGCGAAAAACCCTCCAAGCACCCTCTGGTACCACCGCTAGTCTCTCGACCTTATCCATGTCTTTCGTGGCTGACCACAAGGACGAGCATTCTGGCTTGAGTTCCGCGTTGCCAAAGAAGAGGGTGTCTCGGGAAAAGTCGACATATACTCGGGGTTGGCTGATGCCAACGGCTAACGATAGCCTGTAGTGCTTCAAAGCTTCATGCCGAGCTTCAGCATTGACGTGGAGAAGGGCAGGTATTTGCGTAGTGGATGTCCATGTCTCGACATCATCTCCGTGTTGCGCGACTGCGTCTTCGAGGGACTTGGGGCTTGGTTGTCTTTGTGCGTATGGGGATTTGACTGCGACAGTCCTCGGTCCTGGCAGAGATTGTTGCCATATCTTTATGCGCAACTCGGGAGGAAGGTCATTGAATCTGGTGAAGGACCGTGGCCCTTGAGAAGTGGAGGATTGTAACGTAGATAGTGAGGGTTCCATGGTATTGCTGAAGGATTTGTGCAGTTGAGAGCGTTGCCAACTGTGAAAACGAACGAGTAGGGCCAGGGAGTTTATAAACGTAGAAGAACCAAGGGCAGCTCATCAAAGTTGGATGTCTGGGCTGTGCTTCTTGGCATGATATAACCGCACGCGTTGCTGGTGGCAAGGTGTCGGTCCCTGCTGCGCTATAGAATGCCCCGCAATTGGACAGACTGGATGTACAAGCCGGCTTATTGCAAGTACTACGAAAGCTGTTGGTAGCCGTGCGGATCCAAGCTTGCTTGAGTGTTGTCTCCAGAGGGAAGGGTAAAGACAGCACGCCTTTTCTCTCTGTGAAAACTGCGGAGGGAATTCTTCGAGGGTATTCTGGTTTATATTTACATCCCTGGTCAAGCATTGGGGGTCTCATCTCCTCGCAGCCCCAGTCAGTCATGTACCTTGGTACGTACACACAACTCCCAGCTGAAGATGCTAGCCTTCAATGGCAAGCCACTTCAAGTCCAGGCCTCCCCGATCGGGAAGCGAAGCATCTCCACGGCGGCGCTACTGTCAGGTGGGCTGTTTAAGCCCTTCGAGGGTGACTGGAACGTGGGTTGATGAGGAATGTGGACCGCCACAGCAAACTAGATCGGACAGCGAGCAGGCGTTTGCCGGCACCGATTCACCGTGGCCACTTGGCATGCAGGCATGTAGCGCAAGGCAATCCTAGCCGCCTCAAGTCAAGAGCCCAGACCGCAGATTGGACACGCAGCTATCTGTAATGCCATTTAGATGAATAGTCGCAAGGTTCGATGGCAGGAATATCCCGTGGCTGCATAATGTTGCACGGAGGGTCCCCCGGCTTGCCAAAAATAATTTCTCGTCATGCTAGACCTCGTTACATAGGAAGAATTACGGTAACGTCAGAGCAGCACCGATCAAACGAGTACTAGGGATCAACCTGGCTTGTAGGTGGAGATAGTCCTCTATACAACAGCTAAAGTCGACCCAATCGCAGCAAAATCGTCATTTGCGGCACCTGCCGTTGGGGCCGATTATGCATAGTTACCCTATGCTGTGCGAAGGGGCTGGTACAACAGAGGGCGTCTAAGTTATAGTATCGCGATGAGACCGGTTAGATCGACCCACCTTCTTTACCGGAACTTGGGCTGAAAGATGTGACGATGTAGGGGATCTTGAGACCTTTGACTTTCAGATATGTCACAGCGAGCCCGGCTAGGACCAGGTGATGTCTGGATATTGCCAATGACACCAGTGCTGAACCCCGAAGTAAGAACCTGAGTCGGCGTAGGCGGTAAGTATATGCCGACATCTTAGCGGCGGATAGCTCTTTGGCCCACATCGCTTGCAAGCATCGTCTTTTCACTACGTGCTTGGACTGCGATTCATAGATGCGCAGATTACAATCATGCAGCAATACTTGATTGGCAAATGATATGCGGTATAAAATTAGTCTGTATCTCCATCGCGCCAATAGTCAGGCCTCCTCGGTGAACGGAGCATCGCGTTTCCGCAGCCGCTTACATGTATGTATCCTTCTTGGCTTCTAGCAAGGCGAGGGACTACCAACCTGTCAAGCGGATGAGATTTGTTCACTCTGAGGGCCCGATCGTGCAACCATGGCAATTCACGAGACTTAGTGTTTCCGCTAGAACGCTTCACGCCGCATACGTCTATGGCTTCTCCCTGGTGGCATCTGACTTTGTCTCGTGGCTGTATACTTCTTGACCACCTCTTCTGCTTGCGCGTCCTTCTGGTAGAATGAGTCAAGACCCTGAAATTCTTTAGAATTTCGGGTCACGTTCGTCAATTGCTTCTACTGCTCACATCGTGTTGCTTTGACGGCAATGGCGCGTTAACCCACGCATGTAGACCAAGCGTGATTCATGCAAGGAGAACTTTAACGCAGCATGTTGAGACGACCGTGTCACTAGCTAGTGATACGCGTCGGCGAGTCGCAGATTTTGATGCCGACCCCCGACTCTCCCACTAATAACACCCGTCCGAACTGCTGCCAAGACTCGAGACGTCGTCACATCTAGAGGTTAACCAGATCACACGACGGCGTTTAGAGACTGAACAGAGACGCTCAACGCTGTCATGCTTGTGGCGGCCTCGTCAGCTCCTGAGCGGAGGCCGCATGCGTTCCATTGTTGATGAGCAATCAAGTAGGGAGCATGGGCGTATGGAGGAGAGCTCTTCTTGTCTTTCGCCTTCTGGCTGTCTCGTAGCTATTACACATGGAACTACTGACCATTACATTGCCCTTGAGGGTAAAGCAAAATTGTTTCCCGCCGGTCTTTTTTCATTCGCCTCGCCTTTGAAGGCCACTCTCATACCTCTACTCTTCCTTCCTTCAGATAAGAACCACCGATGCCAGACCCTTCTTGCAGCCCTCGGTCCCGTAGTAAAAAATTTTTGGCATAGACTAATGGGACTGGGGCTAGGCCAGAGTAACACAAGGTCTTCGGGAGCCTTGGAGCAGTGCTCACAACCATGTGGTGGGGCTCTGTGTATCCCTGCTCGTTCCCCGCGTTTTCGACGAAGATCAGGGTTGCATTCCGTCAAAGCCGCAAGACTGGGAACGGGATGTGCCGCCACCATTGCACAACTTCTTTCATCTAACCCTATACACAACCGTAGATTGAGTGACACTATCTCTGACTTCCGTCGCCCGTAGCCGATCGAACCTTGACAACTAGTATCCCCGTCAAGCACATTACATTGTGGCCTTCCAGCGACACAAAGAGAACCTGTATCTCATTCGAAGGAAGTTTCCTTTGCATGAACTACCCGATGAGCTAAAACGCCAGCCCAATATTGAATTCTCCTGCTTTGGCCAAAAAGTGTGATATTATGGCAATAACAGAGAGGTCCTCGTTAGCCCGCCTTTGAACTCTGAGGGTTCATCAACTGAGCAGTGTCTCAGAGCCTCAAGAGTCCACACCTACTCTTCTAGACCTTCCATCCAAAGGAAGGGGTAGGAAATGGCAGCAGTGACCGCCATGTGCCTTCAAGCCATTCGATTCAAGCACAATCAGCTACTCGACGCACAGCGTAAGGAACAATGTAGCCTTATTCGTCATACTCAAAAGCCTTCAGCCTGCTCCCTAACAATAGCGACTTCGCTGAAAGGCCAAAATGCAGGGGAGCAAGGGTCATTCCATTTGTTTTTTCCTGCTGCTTGTCTCAGTTGCCATCGAGAAGGCGATCCCCCCATGTGTCTCAGCCGTTCAGACGCACGTCTAATTGTGGCGTCAGTCTAGAGTCTTCCAGACCGCAGTGTTCCAAACTACTGGGAACAACCAGATGTACATGCGGCTGAGTCTAGACTCTGAACGACTCTTCATCACTATAACGCCTTTCAGCCCACTCTGTTGATGCGGAAACGTGGCCCAATACGTCCCATCAAGGCTAAATAATGGAGAGAAATGAAGCTTTCTAGTGTTGATGGGGTTGTGTCGAGTTCAACAAGCTGAAGGGGACGAAAAGCAACCAAGGCTACGGCCAGGCTGGCGAATAGTTCCACCAGGGTACGTCCATAACGACAGTGCATGGGTAGGTGATGCCCAACTTGCTCGTGTACAACTATCTGACAGAAATGTGTGCTTCTCGCTCGACAATGCCAGCCGCCAAGTTCTATATTCACCATCGAGAAATTGTAGTAAACGAAAGTAGAATATCGATTCAGACACTCTCGCTTTCTCATAGCCCTGGCAAGTTATGCCGGTTTTGATTTTCAATACCAAGGAACGTCGAATGGTAACAAACCTCCAAAACCATTGTACAGAGAGATTACTGGTATGAAGATGGTCGCTTGATATCCACGAGTGTGATCTATTTATCCAGATACAAGGAACCTATGATTCGCAGTATAAAGTGTCCCGTACACATAGTTATCATTTTGACAGTGAGAAGCTGTTTAAAGCGGTAACCAAGGGATAGGTCGGCAAGTTTCCCTGCTAGAGTAAAATACCCGGAATCAGGATGGCAATGACCGAGTGGCTAGGAATGCGCCTATGAAAGAGGGCTACAAGAGAGGTTTGTTCAAGTTTCCTTGGATTCAGGGCCCCGCGCAGCCTACGGCGAAATGAGAGATTGACGCATCGAGTTCGGTTCAAGGCAGCCTATTGATGCTTCCTCCAAGGAAAGTAGGACAGAGAAGACATTTGACTTACGGCAGGATTATTGTATCTCATAAAATGCCTAATATAGCACATTTGAGAAGCGAGTACATGCAAAAAGGGGGTCTATTTGCGATGAAGTGATGATCAGCGACAAAATGGTGAGTGTTGCGGAGGAGCTTCGGGCACTACGAGTTCGACCGCCCTGGTTTTAAGGACTACGCCTGTTTTAAGTCTTGTACACCGTTTCTCTCTTTAAGCAGGATATCTATGTATAGCATATGCTAGGATAAAGTCTTCAAAGCCTCTCCACCTATCTGGCTACAAACACCACTCCCACGCTTGCTAACCACTAAGGCTACTGTCAGCCCTGTTGCCACCGTTAGTTCAGCTATCAAAGCAGGAGAGCAGTCGGACAAAGGGAAGATACGAAAACTGCAGCAATCCGCACTAATTCTGCGATATCTCCCACTATAAGAGTCACGCGATCAAGCCGATTATTGGTTGGACCAGTGGAAAGCCGTCGTCTCACTCTCTCAGATGCACGCGGCAGGGTCTCCCATTCACCTCGTCAAGGAGAGCAGCGGGGGGTGTACCTTTACAAGCCTAAGGTTGGTGGTGGCTGGAAATGCGGTCACATTTTCACTCCAATTATCATCCTGATCTATCAGTTTCTCAGCTGTCCAGAGCGGACCAAACCGTGAGGCGAGACGGCACGAACAAGGCGCCAAGGCGGCGTAGGCAGGAGCTGAAAGTCGCGCAATGACACCCGAGGTCTTGGGGGTCCCATGGCTCGACCGAAGTCAACAGGCTTCGAGACGGGGACCATCGCCGAACGCGACAAAAGACACGCAGAGTCCACCGCGGCCCGCGTTGCCGTGTTCCAGTCCACGATCGCCAGTCTGCTCCTTGACGGCAAGCAGGAGTCTGCGCTTTACGGCCCTTGACCCGACCGTCTGGGACGTGAGCAGGGGGGCTTCGCGATGTTCCGCTTATTGCTGACAGAGGGGCCTTGTGCAGCAACCCCCCTGTCGAGCTGTTTGCAGGTTACAGCAGATATGAGTATACCCTTGGGTACTTAGTGATACGGGGCTCAGGTGCAGTCAATGGACTCCACACAGTGCAGGTGGCGATGATAGGAACAACTTCGGAGTCGAGGCACAGGAGGCAAACGAGCGAAAGGTGATACCTCATAAATGGCACTCTTCTCTGTCAGGCCATGATTGCAGGGTATAGAGACTACGTAATCTTTATGTTGAGCTCATGTGCCGAGTTGCCCGCCCGGCGGTGGGTGATGTCTGATGATTCCGGGAATAATAGCGTTACATCGCTGATACCCTAACGGTGTCCTTGAGCTTCGCTGACCTGGCAAGGTATGACCTTACCTCACCGCGTGGCCATATCATGATCCTAATCTTCGCCTACAGCACGTATTCAAATTCATTTTGGGCACATCTCAGACGTGCCTGCCGGCACTAGTGGCACGGTTCCTCATTAGTACCTAGATATTCGTGACCTCGCCATTGGCTACCAAGTCGAACATTTTGGCATAGGGACTACATAGATTGGATTGCGTAGGCACGATTCAACTTGACGAACTCGGAGGCCGCCGGGAGACAGTGCACCGCAATTCGGCAACTGATCGCTGGCAGAGACCAGACGATGAAGTGGAAGGTTCACTAGAAGTCGCCCTTTATGGGATCAGGCATGCGTTGAGTTCGGCAACGACGCGTTGTCCAACTAAGGTCACCACGGCAGTGAGAGGGTCATGCGCTCGTAACCAGTCTACAATCTGAGAATCTGACACGTAAGACACCTGAAAATGCTTAAGAAAGGCAAGCTACAGACGTTATTGCGAATTGTTTGAATTGTCGTGTAGCGTGAGCCCACTGATATTCTTGGTTGCAAAGTCATGAAAGCTAGAAGGCCGCCGGCACCCCAAGGCCAGGCCGGAAACGGTGCTGTAGTATTCCCACGCGATGATGACCTTGCAAATGTAGTGCAGCCCTTGCCAGTACCACGGTCCATGTCGCTCTGCTGCGACATCGATGTTCCATCACATCTGTAGCCCATTCCCAAATGCTGAAATGCTAAACCTCGAAAATGCTCGACATGCTTTGCTGAACGCTGATCAAGGGAACAATAAACATGACTTGAAATGACCCAAAACACCTCAAAACCCTTATGCCCTCTTCCAATGCCGGGACGCGGTGTTCCCTCCATGCAAACATATGAAAACTTTTTTTTGTGCGATTTCCCAGATCTATCTTGTCATTCATCCCAAAAACACCCGTTATATGCGTTTCCCTGTATCATGCCGTGAATGAACCAGCCAAGTGATGTCCTCTGAACCGTGCCAGGGCCCAGGGCATCATTAGATTCGTTCGTACCTTCCCATCAAAAATGCAAATCTGTATCATGGATGTGCCGAGAATCCTTCCAACGCCGTCGTCTGTATGGTCAAATAGGGGGTATTCGCTGTATATCAACTGAATAAGGGGACCGTCGGTAGTCAAGTCGAAGTTCTTGCCAAATCAAAAGAACTCCGACATAAAGATGTTGTACACATTGACGCTTCGCTAATCATAGTGCCTGACTTATCGTACATGCTGATTCACGAACGGGTCAGGGGCTGCTGCGAGTTGTCCGCATTTCCGCTGTCGAGACTGATTTTCTCGATTGACTTCTCTGAAGCCAGTTTCGTAGTGCTGTTCGACGACCGGCTGAAGACTCTGCTCCCAAGGTTCTTGAACTTGCCAACGGACTCCACACCATCTCCAGGATTGACGTAGACATCGGTGACAGGTCCAACCTCAAGGCGACAGAACAAAGTAGAAAATAAGTAACGGTCTCCATTCGGATCCAGTAAAGGCAAAGTACGGTAGCCGTGCTTCAAACTGGTGAGCTTCGCTGTGAAAGTTGCCATTGGAGCGGCGCGGTCATTCGGGCCTTCTCCATTCGCTGAAAGTTTGATGCTCCACCGAATGAAAACCAACTCCGGATACTTTGTGGTGATGCTGAACGGCATCGACTCGTTGAAGACGGGATTAAAGCCATTCTCTCTGACGACTCGCGTAGTCCGCTTCAACGGGCTGTCAGCAACGACGCCTACACTGCTATCATGCTTATCCCTCTTGTCATTGGCGTGGAAGACTTCAACCTCGACATAAGGGTCAAGGGTCCTATTCGCTGCCAAGTTTCCAGGACGCATAAGTTGCTGCGCAGAGATAACTTCGATCTTGAAGGTGACGTTTTTGCGTTCCAGTTTGCCGACTGCCTCTTCCGGAAGGCCGTTGGGCAACATTCGTATCTCACGCATGCAGTGAGGCTTGAGGACATATCCTGACTGGTCTGTGCCAGCAGCGAACATGGCCTGGTTTAGCTGCATTCCAAAGTCGAAAGTCTGCCAATTGAGCGCCGCCATCTGAACTCCTTTCCTCCAATACATCAGAGGGTTGAAGTTGTGAGAGTTGAGGCGGGAGAATTGAGGATACACACGCATCATGTAGCGCATATTGTGGCGATATAGGGCGTCCTTGGATTCCTTGGTCTTCCCATGGTTTCTGAATGTCCCTTCCATAAAGGATAAGATGTGGTAAGGCATCCGACATTCGAGCGCATCGAAGCCGTTGAACGTGACACCCGTGCAATAGACACCTAGTTCACCCAGTACTTGGACAATCTTGCTAGTGTCCTTCTTCGCCTTCGGTGTTTTCTCACTCGGTGTCTTCTCACTCGGGGGTTTCTCATTACCGCTATCGCAATCACTCGTGCTGCTGCTTAGGGTCTCCTGGACCTCACCCTCGGTGATAGTATTGTACCGCTTTGCAACCCTACGACGGGAAGGGTCTCTGGGGGTGAGCATGGGGCTCTGAGAGAGGTACTGGGGTGGGATAGTCGAGTTATCCATGGCGATTGGTTTAGCATAGGGCGAGGTCAAGCTGTTGCCGCGCCGGCGACCGTTGACACTGGGGACCCTGCCGCTGCGTGGCTCCTCAAGAGAGGCGGCCTTCACTTTGACCAGTACACGCTCCTTGAGCTCGGAAGGAGACGGTAGTTTATCAGATGTAGGGTCTAGCGCGGTAAGGATCAAACGAGGTCCGAAAATGTCTTTCATGATGGCAGCCATCTCTGTTTGCTGGGCGGCATTACAGTGAACCTCAAGCGACACCCACAATGGGAACCGGCTTGTCACGAAGGCATACTTGTTGATAACGTTGATGACTTCCTTGAACGATATTGCGTTTGTCATCGCATATCCGTGCTGGACCAGGGGTTGTCCATCAGGGCCATCCCAGCAATCGATCTCGATACTCCTGCACCCTTTCACGAGGGCTGTAATGTAACCCTCGACGCTGGAGATATCAGCGACCTGACGACCGAGGAGGTAGGTGTTGTGAGAGCTAGATATGAAATACTCATTCATCGGTCGATCGAGGGTGTAGTTGGTGGGTTCAGTGGCCAATGGGACGTTGAATGTCGAAGTGAGAAATGCTGCAAATGCCTGCTCAGTCATTCTTGCGATATCTGTGTCCAGACCGCGGGTCTCGTCGCAGGATTTTGGTCGCCGAGTAAAGCGGCTGAAACTGGCTTCCCAGCTTCGGGGATCCGTGTCAATGTCCTCGCCTTGCGTATCGCGAAGGAAACCAGCGAATTCGGACCAAGTGATTCCACTAATGGGGTCGGAAGCAATACTGCGGTAGACTGCTCGAATATCCTCTCTCTGCTTCATTTTCCTGACAAAGTCCTGAAACTCCGCAAAGTTAAGACGTCCGGTTCTAGTGCCGTCCGCAGATTCGAAAGTATCCCAAAGCTGCTTCTGGGAGACATGGATGTGCAGGTTTCGACAGACACGTTCGACGCCGGGGAAGTCGATCTCCTCATCATCGAATGAGTGTGGCTTCCCCTCAAACTGCTTCGTCATTTCGGTGTTCCAGTAGGAGCGAATAGCCTTGTCGTTGAAGGACATGAGTGAAGTCATCAGGTCTTGCCTGTGCTTAGATATCGCATCGAGAGCAGTAACCCAACTCTCGAAGGTTTCCTCGTCTTCAGCTACGAGATGCATCGCTTTGCTCTTCGACTTGTCAGCAACAGCATAGAGGATAGAGAAGAAGCGGCGTTCGTCTGAGTCCGGCACATCATAGTCCAAGCGGTATTGGCGTGTATCGGAACCTATTCGGATCTCTCGAATGTCGTCGACGTACAGGCTTTTGGACGGACGGTTCTTGTCCCACGTGATCTTGGCGGCATCAGAGTCCAAAACGAGGAAGATCTTCTTGAACTTTCTTTTCTTGGAGAACTTTCGGACCCAAGTGCCCTTCCTCAGAGCCATGGGGATAACGGGCCCGGCAGGAGGCTCAACTGGGGTAGTAGAGCCGGCAATGGATCCTGGGTTACTCGTGGAAGAGACTTCACGTACTTGGCCGTCCGTAAGACATAATGGCATGATCTCATCCCTCTCGTCTGCAGGTATAAAGTCGTCGTCGGAATCGGTGAAAAAGACTGTCTCCGTCGGAGGAGCGGTGTTGGTGCTGTCACTTCTCCTCCGCAAGATTCCAGGGCCAATGCTTCCATCCCGGCTCTTTGGCGCAACGGAAGACTGACGGCGTGTGCGGCTGACCAGTTTCTGCGTTTTACTTGACAGACGACGGATCAAGCCAGTCTTGTCCTTGTTTTGGAACTGCAGGGCCTCGGCCAACGAGTTGTTACTGGGAGCTAAGCTAGGGTTCATCGAGTTGTTGCTGGCTTTCCGTTGCAAGAGCGGATCGCCGAGGGTAAAGGGGGTGAGGGGGAATTGTTCGATGTCACGCCCACGATAGGGCTCAGGAGAAGGCTGAATAGAGCTGCTAGTGGTCAACACCGTATTGTCTGGAGACATGATGGGAGAGTCATGCAGAGAACTGGATGCCACCGAGGAGGCACTTATGGCTGACACAGGCATAGAGCCGACGGCGCCATTGGACTGTTGATAGGTCGTATGGACCTGGCTAGGTCGTGTTCGCCTTAGCATCGACCCTTGCGGGTTGCCCTGAGGAGCTGTGACCGGTGTAGTTGTCGGAGCCTGGGAACCAGGACTCGACCGGGGAGGATTTGACCATGAGGCGGAAGACATTGCGTCCAGATGTGAATAGTATGTCGGCATGCGTGGTGGGTTTCTGCGCTGCGGAGCGGGGAGGTGCAGCGTATGCAGTTCCGGCTCAGGTGCAGAGGTCAGACATCTATAAAGCAAGGGCTGAAGTTGTCCGCCTCATGATCAGGCCTATATAAGTGTTTGTAAATGATACCCGCCAGGTTACAGTGAACGGGAACAAGACACGGGCAGGGCCGTGAAAATAAGCCGTAGGAGACCTAATGCTGTTCTGGGGCCTAAGAGCCTTTATACAGCAGGGCCAAGGGTTGCGCTGCAATACTGCAACAGGTCAATCAGTGACTCCCACGATGTGTATGTCGATTGCGGTGATTTGGGGTCCGATGCCGACAGCCAGCGAGCCAGGGCAACCAGGTGGGTGGTGTGGGAAGTACTGTAGGAGTACAGGTACTGTGTTCCAATGCGGGTACCTGGAGTTACAGCTGCTGTATGGGCTGGCCGTACAGCATGTGTGCGTGCCCCCAGGTAAAGAAGGCGCGGATATGGGCCGCGTTGTAATAGTCCACGGCAAGAAATGATGAGCTGGCAAGCCAGGTAGTATGGTATGCACCTGCACGTCGCTTGTTTGGGATACCCAAAGTTGGGGGGAGCGGCGTCAGATAGATATCCGCCACAAGACTGCCTGTCCTTCGTGCCCTCCCGTCAAGAGAGACAAAAAAACCCAGCCCGTCGAGTTCTGCGTCTTCCTCCTTCTTTGCTCCTCTCTTCGGGCGCGGTTGAAGCCAACGGCAGGGCTCGACCACTTACTTCCCAATTCAGTAGGTTCCTACAAGGATTGTCCGTCTCTCGTGTTTCTTTCTGCTCTTTCCCTTTCCCGTTCCCTCTCGCCTCCAAACAAGAGCGGAAGAGGAGGAATAAAAAAATTGTTAGACAAGACAAGCTTCCTTTGCTCCTGGTGAAGGTCCAATCCGATGTGTTGATTCAATATTGCGCCCGAGAAATATAAGGCGGTTGTGGGCGCGGGCGCGCTCGAGGGTAAGGCGATTCCAGAGGTCGATTTTGTTGCGCTGCACAGTGCGACGCGGCTGCGCATAGGTGGGCGGCCCCCTATGTCCTTACGGGCGTCTTGCTTGGTGAGTGAGCTCGGGGTCCGGTTGTTCAAGCAGGCGGCCACCTAGGGAGCTCGTCTCCGGGCGTGGAAAAAGGGTACGACGTGAACGTGGTGTGTGTGAGAAGGTTATCCAGAGGTTTTCAAGGCCGTGGAAACCACCTGTAGTGCAGCAGACGGGGTCGGGAAATTATTAGAGATGGTGCGGATGGGAAGGGATGAGAAGGCATGGCCGACAGGGAAGGCGGCGCAGAGGTACGTACACGGCTGGGTTTAAACAAGTCCACAAGCCGCTTGCTCCCAGAACCTAAATGACAGGTGCGATGGGGGTGGAGTTTAGCTGTTTGGAGGTGCAGACGCCAGCCGGTGGTGAGGTGAGGAAAAAGGGAGAGGCCCAGAGGAAGCTGGCGCGCCTGGGAAGATCGATGACTCTTTTCGGCGGTACAGGGCAGAGAGGAATGGCGCATCAAAATCTCAAGGCCGCTTGTGGTCGCTCACGACGAGCAGGGTCATCCCAGGCCGCAATGCCAGCCCAGGACGGTACGTAGCTACGCACTTACAGGCAGGACCCGGCCGCGAGGTACCCAAGTACTGCGGTACTGCCGTACTGCCGTACTGCCGTGCCTCGGATTGGTGGGCGCGCCGGTGCTGGGCTGCGCTGCGCTGTGCTGTGGGGGAGGTCTCACACGGCCAAGGAACTTCCTCGCTCTGGGGGGGCGCATGGCCGTACGAGATGGAATTGAGGGCTGACCGCCCGTCTCTAATAAGGGAAACCTAAAAATAATGGCCTTTCTGGAGCATCAGCATGCACGACGAACAATGACAGCTCCGAGCTAGCAGGCCAGGGAGGACTGGCCGTTGTGCTAGCACGGCACTAGAACATGATTTCCTTTCACTGGACCTCCTCGACTTGGTGGGGATCTCGCTTCTCAGGAACGAGGGCGGCGGCCCCTTCATCATGGGTGGGATGACCGCACTACTGTGGTAACTTGGCTGCTTGGGTGCTATGTAAATTACGTCCTAGCACGTTTGGTGAGTAACTAGCACGCTGAGGACGGCGCCCTGCTTGTGTACGGTAGATGGGAAACAATGAATACTTGTCCGCCCAGCATGGTTTTCTGCTTGGATCTTCCGTGTCGTAAGATGGTAAAGAACAACACAATTGTGGAGGACGAGAGCACGCACAGTCAGATCCGAAGCGTAACTAGAAATTATCTCAGAGATTATCTCAATGTGAATTTGATTGAGATGGCATGACTGGCCCGTCCCTTTTTTTTTTTTTTTTTTTTTTTTTTTTTTCCCTCCCTCCTCCCTCCTTCGTAGCCTTTTTTTTAAGCATTCCATCGATACGAGTACCGAGATGGGCTATCTGCCCGGAGTACCTGGTTGGGGCCCATTATTCGTCTGGTCGTGCCCTCAGCCTAATGTAGTGTCCACCTTGGGGGACTCGGCAAGCTTTTATGACATTTATTTCGACAGCTTGAGCCGAGTGCACACTATGCGCGTTCTGTTCCTGGTCTAAGACGTGGCTATGACTTCATTCTCGTGGGCTAAGTTGGCGCCCAAGCTACCCGTCCGCTTGCGTCGGATAATGTGAACATTCCAGCAGACTGACGAGGTGCAACGCGCGCGAGCAGTCTGGACGAACATTGGACACCAGTATCGACTGACTTTCTTGCACGGCCATTGCGCAAGCCACACTGTCGATTCCTTCAGGTTGATTAAAAAACTGGATTCCCGGAGAGACAAAGGCGACCAAGCCTCAATGGCGTGCCGCCGAGGTAGCTGCACAGTGCCGAACGTCCATGGATATCATGCCTAGCTCGGCTGGTTGCGAGCGAGGCTCCTGAACCGAGACAAAAAATTTCAGGTGGCATGCTTGCTGAGGATGAGCAGTGGCCGCCAGTAGGCCCGGTGCATGGCCAAATGCTCCTGGTGGGACCATCACTACATCATCGCCCGCCTAACCCTGATCGACACTAAGCTTGCCCTCGATGACCCCTGTTGGATTGACGATACGCCGGACCAGGGGGTATGACTGCCCAAAATCCAGCACGCCTTTGTCCTTGGGCCCCCTGCTTTGACGTGTTCCGATTACCGGGTGCGCTCAGCATTGCTCAGGCTTCAGCCCAGATTCGCGACCTTGGGCCCATCCCCCAGTCAAAGCCCCGCCGCTTGTCGCCAATCATTGCGATCGCTTGTCACGCGCTCACGAGTTTGCATCTTCGCCGTACAGCGTCCAGAGGCTGATTGCCCTTCGAACCAAGCGGTGAGACTCGAGGACCCAAATGCCCGAAGCCGGTGTTGGCCTGATATCATTCCGTAAATGCAGTTGGAGTGCTGAACCTTGTGTACGCCCAGAGGTACGAGTTCGGACTACCTGTCTTGCACCGAATATGATGGCGTAGTGCTCTGCAAAACCTAATCATTCGTTCATGCCACAGTACGTAGCTCTCGGACTACGATACGACATGACATCCTCACCCACTCTGTTGGAGACGGCAATGTACACGGTAATCTACACAAACAGGAAATTGAGCAAGCCCGAGCTTCCAGCTCATGGTGATGGCTCTCGACTACCGCAGGACGTCTACGCCTGTGCGGCTGCGCTGGTGACTAGTGACACCGGACCCTGAAGATCTCTGTCTCTGTTACTTTCATATACAGATTCAATCTTCGAGCCTTTGGCCCGCTCCTACTCTTCGACCGGATCCCCAGTCTCACTCATGGTTCGACAGCTACCGAGAAACTCAAAGAACATAATGATTATGCCACGGGCTACCTCCTCACCCCACAGTCCCTCAGGATCTGGCTTGCTAGGCAGCCAGTGTGGGATTGGCTCCGGCCAGCTCCTCCATTCGTCAGAGAAGCCCTCTCATGCTGCAAACCACTGTATATTCTTCTCAGATCGCCAACCCTATGCGATCACTGGCCTGGGGGTTTCAAGTGTGAAGGAGTGGAGCAACCTAGTCTTTGCGAACCCCATATGTACTCTATCTGGAAAGCTCCGCGAAAGTTTGGTGGTCGTCAGACCGGCCGGCGCTCTTGCGGGCTTGGAAGGGACTGCCAGGCTCGAAGAAACCTTATGTATGGCCCTTCTAGTCTTCCTAGCCGATAACCTCACCCCACTTGCGCAGGGCAATGATGCATATCGCGCTCATCACCATATGTTGATCTCTTCGTAGTACCTACCAGGCAATGTGGGATCAGACAATCGGGAGTTGCGTGAGAAAGATCTCAGTATGCGCAAGCGTCGATACGACCAGTTCTCCACGTGGTTCAATTGCAACAGTATGTTGCACAGACTGATAAGTCGCCATCACCCCCAAAACGTGCGCTTGTGCATGGTTGAGAATAGTGCGAGTTGGGCAGACAACTTTCCCCGCAAATGTGAGTGCCAAGAAAACTCTAGCTCTCCAAGGCCTATATCCAGTGAAAACTGTCTTTGCTTGCCCTGCCAACATTTGGTCTGCCCAATCAATACAGTCTTATTCGAAGCCCTGTCCGCCTTGTTCTGCTACACCTCATCATCTCGTCACATGTGGTACTCCATACTCGCAACATCCACGTTGATTCGTGCGGTGTTCAAGGACTTGTCAGCCCACACTCAGACGTCTCCAATGCCATTGGGCTACGAGGCCCAAAGTGTAAGAGCGAACGCGGCGAGCGTGGTCTTCACCGCCAGACTTGGCACGAGCATCGCCACATGTTGCTTGCCAGTCATTGTCAGCATTATATTTGGACGGTAGGCGCAAGTGATTTAACCTGGCTCGGGACGATGCGATTTGACCAAATGCGGTTGCCTGTGCCCCAAATTCCCCGGCTATTCGGCCTCCCTGTCATGATGCCTGCTCAGATCCGTAGAGTTCAAACCGTCCGACCCTGCCAGCTTCCAACAATTACGTATACTAGTGAG